ATCTCTTTGCTTTCATGTGTCAGCTTGCAGATGCACCTCGAAACTCTAAGAAATCTCCATCTGCTTCAGCCCGCCCCACCCGACCTCCACCCGCCAATGTGGAGACTTATGCGTAGCTTCATTATCGCATGCAATGTAGATTGTAGGGGATGCTCAGTGGGTGACGACCATAGACTGGGAACACCGCCCGAGCAACCAAGAAGTTCACACGCGGTCATTCTGTCTCAAGAGCTCTTAGCTGAGGTTGTGGGAGTTGTGTCTTAAGTGGGAATCGCTTTCGATACCTTAGCCATGCTCCGGAGCTCTAAGCCCACAGTGGGACTCACGCTTAGAGTCCGGGAAGTTCCGGTGGCTGGGGCTAGGGAGCTGACTTAGTTCGTTCATCTACACTTAAGGGCCTATGTGACCTTGCAAGACGCAAGCTCCTGAGGCTTGCGGCAACCATCAAAGGCATTTCCGAGCCCTAGGATAGTACATGGGATCCGTCTCTGTGGATGCTTGATGTGCGACGGGTACAACCCGGAAAGTTTGTGGTCTCGCTCTTGAGACCGGCCGAATGGTGTTGTCAAGAGTTGTTGGTTGAGCCGGGAGCAGTCGGGACCAAAGCTACAGTATCCGCAACCCTTTACATGATCTAAAAATAGACGCCTGAAAAGGTATTCTACCATTGTACGGGTTATGCCTTCCTCTAGGAGTTCTTACAGTTCCGACTCCCTTCGGCTTTCTTTCCTTCTTCCTACAACCGAGCTTCGACTCGACTCTCCCAAAAACCTAAAACCCCTTAAACAAAAACCCCAAACCCTCTCCCAAGGCTGGCTCCGGGTAGAACTTGGAGTAGTCGGCGGAGGACTCGTCAGGCCAGCCGACGGTGGCGAAGGGCCACAGCCCGGACCTAGGCATCCGTAGGGGCGTATGGTTTTGGGGTTGCAGGGGACCGTAAGGCTCCGGGCCTTGGGATGTTGAGGGGTTTCAGGTTCCTATCTCCATGGCTTCTTCGGTGCTGTGTAAGTCCGGGGGAGGGGGACCTCTTCAGAATTCGAGGTTTGCACAGAAGATGCTGGAGGCAGGGCGAGGGCATGAGGCTGCTACTGCCGGTGGTCGGATGTATCTGCCTTTCCCTGTGCGCCAGGCCCTGCCTCAAGACACAACAAGAACCAGAATAGAAGGGCTTAAACAATTAGGATAGGGTTCGCCTTCTATTACAGCAATGATAAATGCATTACCGAACCCTCAGGACGAGTATTTTGGCAAGACTATTGGTGTACTGCGTTCCCTGCGAGAACCAGGTGTCCAGGACATCGTCGTCTTGCCGCAGCTCGACATCCTGTTCGAATCCGAAACGTCCGAATCTGTATGCAGACGTCTCATTACACGGCCACTTCCTTTCCTTTAGGCCCGTAGCCTTACGATTATCATAATCATCTTGATTCAGGGAGGGGGGCTCTTTATTCATCAGTGGTCTACCTACATTGGAAGCTTTCGGTAGGTCTCGGAGGCGGATGCGGCGTTCCTTGGTTCCTGCTGGGCTTTAGGGTTTAGAGCATAGAGGCTTAGAGTGTGTAGGGTTTAAGTACTATTCGGCACGTCTGCTGGGCTCGTGATTGCATGCACTGCACGAATCCTAAGCCGACCTCCCCGAATTCTTTGCGAGCAGCGGCCAGAGCCTCCCGAAGGGAGGAAGCTGTGGGGCATGTACGGTTGTGGCTGTTCCCTGCAGCTCCACATCGGTCATGCGCTTTGCCGTAGGAGCTTGCTTTGCATATGAAGCCGGCAAGGTTTGGAGCAGGTGCACACTTGCTCTAGCTATACGTAGCGTGTCTGGATCAATGTCGTTTGCATGTAGTATGTGTTGCTGCTGACCCTTCTTCCTTCTCAAGTTAAGCTGATAGCTGTGCCATGCGCATGCTCATATTTTCAGCGCGCAAGCGCACGCCGGCTGCCGATCTGGCGAAGCGTGGCCTGCAACAAAATCGCTTCCAAATAGTTACTGCCTGGGCGGCAGCATGCCTGTCTACTCGCGATGCTGACAGGCAATCCCTGAATCCAAAAGTCTTCGAATCAGAAGATTCTTTAACCAGGAATCTTGTGTAACGATAGTTCAAACACGACAACAGATACTTTCGAAGCTCCTGTGCCTGAGGCCCCTTAGCTCTTTGCTGAAGGTGGCCCAGCACTTGGCTTCTCCTCCGGACGATCCCCGATCTTGCAATCCTTGCCTTAGTGCAGAAGCAGATCAACCGGCCTCGAGCAAACGTTAAGACGAACACCGTCAAAGTCATCGGGGATGTTTTGTAGAGAGACGGATGAAGCTTCAGGATAATACTTCCTGCACCTGAAGATTGTCTACCAGCAATTGATGGGGCACGTGTTGGAGTACAACGAATATCAAAAAACCCTCAATTATATCATGGCAATACGCATACTCCTTCTGCAGCAAAGCCACAGTCTGAGTTAGGCATCGGCAGCTGGACAGGTGCCCCACGCGCAGCACCAGGGGCTGATGTCAGGGTTGGCATGTAGTCGGGCGAAACTGAGTCTAAGACTCTGTGCTTGCGTGTACGTACATACATGTGTGCGTAGTATGTCTATGCTTATGAATATATATGTGTATGCATATATATATATATATATATATTCACATAGACATATATACCTTTGTAAGGAAAAGCCGATAGACAATATCAATCTTTCCAAACATCGTCACATCGGTATTTACGTATGTATGCATATATGTATATAGGGTGTATGTATATATATGTACATAATACATACACATATGAAGAGAAAGGAGAGAGAGAGAGAGAGAGAGAGAGAGAGAGAGAGAGAGAGAGAGAGAGAGAGAGAGAGAGAGAGAGAGAGAGAGTGTGTGTGTGTGTGTGTGTGTGTGTGCGTGCGCGTGCGCGTGCGCGTGCGCGCGGGCGTGTGTGTGTGTGTGTGCGGATGTTAGGGACCCGGGGCGTATTCTGACAAATAGGTTTTGCCTTGACACCAAATGTTGACAGGGTGTGTGTGGCAAAAAGCCTGTGCCTTCTCATGTCTCTTGTGACGGATGATGGGGAATGCTGAAGCAGAACAGTCTCCGGTGAATGATCATCGAACATCCGATCATCCGAGAACCGAAGCTCAAACTGCATTGATGTACCTGTACTCGCTGCCCAAACCGCCCAAACGCCCTAAAGACTGGTCAGTGCTAACACCCTGAAGCCGCACATCCAAACACCTGAACTCCTCTTGAGAGAGAAAGTCAGAGAGTGAAACTTCGGCTCGTCTGCTTGACCCATATTGCTGTGGTCACGCATTTCGGGCCCATGGTTTTGCAGGACACGAGTGTCTTCTCAATCCCAATGCCAGGTTTTGCATTCTCCGATGATCCCTCGCCTGGCGAGGCTGTGGAACCCTGCAGCTTCGCTTGAAGATCCTGGGTCCAGGGAGGGCTCAACGGGGTGCGATGCCAAAAACACAAGGTTTACACTGTGCCGGCGACAAGAGTCAAAGCATGAAGCTGCGATCGCCGAAGTAGGGAGAAAGCAGGATCTGATTTACATAACATATATATATATATGTATATACATACATATATCACAACATAATGCGTTGAACCAAGTTGCCATGCGACAAGACTCTGCAACTTGCTCGAAGCTAGACAAGTTCCAAAGAGTCAAGGCGCTGAGACTGTTAGCACCCCAGCATGGGTGGTGCCATCTGCGAAGGTCCAGAAAGGGATGGCGTCAACACCAGCACGGAAGCATCTCGGCCGCAAGCTTTCACAGCAGCCCCGTGTGTCAGCCCTGCATGCCATGATCGGACACGTGGATGTGCTGAAACCCACTGGTGCTGATAATCTGAAGAAGCCTGTGCAGCCAAGTCAATCATGCAGCTGCGATCAGGTCACCGTATTGGGTCCGACTGCGCAGCACCTCACATGACACGCACGAACTCTGCCGCGTGCGAGGCAAGATCTATCTTACACCCGTCAAAGCCATCCTTTCAGGGCCTTGGAATTGGCAGGTGATCAATACAAGCAGGACAACAGGGAGGCTCGATTTCCAGGCAGGCATGTGCTGATTTGCAATTTTCGTGCTTGATGCGGCACTAGCTGCATTTCGTGGCTTCAGCGGACTGCGAGACTGGTGTGCGTGACTGCAATATCGGTTGTTCGACCCTTTCTCAGCCCTGTCAGTTCCACATTTCATAGTTCTTGAGGCTTTGCAACGAGGCTCTCGTGGAGACCAAAACTGCCCATCCAGGAGAGGCTGAGTCGTTTGCGTTGTGCACGACATTTAATGCCGTGTAAACAGGATATCAAACCTATGCCAGCATGTCAGACGTGATGGTGATTGTCGTGTGCTTACATCACAGGCGGCAGATCTCTTCCCCGTTCACACGGAAATCTGTTTCTGGCAATTTTCCGGTCCCCATCTAGACGCGTCTGAATCTCCTGAGAGTTTGGATGGATTTGGCTGATCACTTGGTGTGGGTGATAAACCGGATGCCCAGAATTCTGAGAACGATGCGCTCATCGCATTCCACGTATGGCACCTCGCAAGTCTTAGTTTCTCTCGAGCATGGACTTGAGTCCTGTGTCCAAGCTGGGATATGAAGCACCAACAATTCCTTTGCCAGCTTCGGACTTCCCTCTCATTTGCAGTCCTGCATTCCGAAGACCGAAACCCCGGACTGTACAGGAGCGGCTGGAAGCCCGAAACCTCACGAGCAAGGACTTCGGGGCTTCCCAAGATCTGGGGTGCCTTGGCCCAGGCTTGCTGCCCGAAGACCTGCTGGCATTCCTACCACTGCTGTCCTCTTTGAGAATCTGTGAATATTTAATTGGGAGCGGGAGTGGACTAGCACTATGTCAACAGGTCCAGGGTAAGTGAGGTTGTGGATTCGGTTTTCGTTGATGTTCCTGCTTTGTTTGAAACGTGCCTCTTCATTAAGGATGGGGCTTACTAAACTGCTAAACACCAATGCACCAACAAACAAGACAAGACATCGAGCAAATACCTTCAACATGATGATATCGGTTCCCGAGGCTTGAGGTCGTCGCCAACGGCCTACCGCTCCGGCGAGGGTTTCATGTATGCCACTGAAACAGCTACGAATCGTCAGTTTGAGCATCATGCATGGGCAGCAGAACGGCACCGACATAGGTTAAGGCTGGTCGCCTGTCCGCAACTGCACACCACTATACAGTTTCAGGTGCGTTCTGTGTCGTGATGTGCCATGGCCCCTCCTGCTGTACAAAGAAGGCTGGGCTGGGCAAGCACGGACTTTGTTGCTTGCATGCACTTCAAACCTTCATACTCCTGCCACCCACGAATCACATTGCCCAAGGCATCCGCATCCGTGCTTCGAACTTTCTCTGCAGGGAGCCTGCCGCTGCGCATCGCAGGCAGGGCACCAGTAGGTGCCATAGAAGACAGCGCCGCCTGCGGTTGTCCCCTCAAAATCGCAACAGCTTCAAGGTACGCTGAATCGTAATGAGTCGCGAATACAAAGCCTGCTGCCCCAGACATGCCTAAAATCGCTTTGGCTGCACAAGGACCCCAAGCTAACCTCTGCTTGAACAAACCGGACCCCAAGTTTGCCAACTCTGACAACTCAAAGAGGAAGCCCACCTTCCTGTAGCCGCCTGGCCACCGTTATCGCCTGAGTGCCGAGAGTAGCAGAGTAATCATCCCTCATTCCAGGAATCCAACATGCGTAACCTTCCGTTGTGTTTCCGCAGTGCTTGGGCTTTCGGCGTGAGCGTGTAGTGAGGCCGAAGCGGCTTAAATCAATGCAGACTGCAGAACAAGTCACAAGACAAGACACCCAACTCATATGCAAGCAAGATAAGCCGGGATCGCTCATGTGCGTCTCTCTGTCTGTCCGTCTGCCTGTCTGGTCTGTATCTACATGTGTACAAAGTTGGGAACAAGACCTCTGACAATCGCAGTTTCAACAACCCGGCCGAAGTGGGACCCACGCTCCAGAATCGGTTCCATCTGCCGGCCCTACTGAACATGTACGGCTTAGAAACCAAACTAACCTAACCAGTCTGCCTTAGGCCTCAGCTAGCATACCCATGATGCTCGTGCCTCGGCGTCGGAATTGGTCAGCACCGGTGGGGCCACAGCTGCTGCTACTTCCTCAGCAGGGGGCCTCGGCAAGACTCGTTCCCACTCGGAAATGCCAGGCTGAGCAACACTTGGGCACCATCCCGACAACAAACCCATCATGGAAACCAAGCCCAGAAGTCCATGCGGGGAGCCACTGCGAACCTTCGAGAAGTCCAGGCCAAGGGAGCCACAGGTTGAGGCTCGCACGTGAGCCCAACCATCCGCTCTAGACCGTTGAGGCCCTTGAAGCCTGAAAATTGCCAATCATGTAGTCGCATTGAAGCTAAATAAGAGGCAGGGTCGAGCTTGCCTGGGTAGAGCTCAAAGGGAAGCCCCTCCGGCGTGCTCGGCTCGACGGCCACGGCCCATGTTGGAAAACTAGTCCTCGGGTCAGAGTCTGAATCAGAGATCTTTCGATTCCTGGCGGGTTTGGGGTTCAGGAGGTGACTTCAGAATCCCCCCCCCTTCAAGCCGCTTGCCCACATCAGGTCACACCGCGGGGCCCAAATCCCCATGCCTTCAGACAGTACGCCTGAAAAGATGATGATGACGAAGAAGAAGATGATGATGATTATCATCATCATCATCGTCAGGATCAGCACCACGATCAGGATCAGCAATATCATGACCATGCTGATGACGATGATGACAATCATCATCACCGCCATCATTCTCATCATAACGATTGTCTTGCCGTCACAGCCTCCATGGCCATGATGATCACAATCATGATGCTGCTGATGATGCTGATCAGCACCACACCAGTATCTACAATGCGTCGGTCCCGATCGTCAACTATACGTGCGAGTAGCACCCAGCCCAAAGCCATAGCCTGACCAAATGCATCTGAGAAGCACGCCCGCTGCTTGGCAGAGCCCTGGTTGGGCATTCTCACCACGCGGGTCGCATTCCACATAGCGCACGTATTCCTGTTCAGCGGTTTAAGGTTGCCTCGCGTAGCTCCGACAGTACTGGGGTCAGAAATGGACATCGAGACGGTGAACAACCGTCTCAGTGTGCCGCTAAACCGAAACCATGTCAGCCCGAAGCTGCCAGAGGCCGCGCAAGGAACCCGACCTACCCTCATCTTGTCCAAGGTCACCTTGCGGCCATCGAAAACCTCGCGGCCCAAAGCCTGTCTCTCCTGTCAAGTGAACTCCGGGATGAGCAACTTGGAACACTGAAGCGATCTTTCGTGAAGGGGTTCAAGGGCTTCGGGGTTGAGTTCGCCCTTGAAGCCCGCTCCTGGTCGCAGTAGGGACACCAGTATGCGCCTTAGTCTCACGGACATGACGAACATAAATGTGCACTTAATGGGTTCTGACAGCTGCATCACTGATGTCAACTACTGGTAACAAGTGTGAGAGAACCGATCGAGTTTTCTACGGGATCGCATTCGGCGCATGATGCCCCATATCCACGCGACAAAAGCATCCAGAATGTTTGTACATTCATTCACCTGCATGTGTCCTGAAAAACCTACGGACTCAGGCTTGACTTCGATAGTTTCGGCCAGAGAACCGAAGAGAACGGCTCGCTTCTCTTCCAGCTTCCTGCCCGAAAAAGCAGCAAACTACAACAAGAAATGTAGAATATGCACTATGCAACAAACATGGAGAGCCTATTGTAACAGGCAGCTACTAGGCAGGCCTCAAGAGGGACACGCACGAGATGTCAACGTGTCAACATGCGGCAAAGCCGTCGCTGCGACTTCGGTGCACATGCTATCTAACCATGTCGTCAAAGCCATTACACCGCTCCAAATCATATAATATTTTTGTAGCATAGCGCAAGATAACATATTCTCCACATGGCCTGGCAACTGTCATTGCGCGCTGGGAAGATTCCTGCCGAACCTCCGGTAGACTCCTCCCAGACAAGATTTGCAAGATGAAGCCCACAGAGGCTTTGTTGGGTTTAGGAATCATGGGCCGGTATGACCTTATGACTTCAGGATACTTCAGGCTTACGTTATGACACACGAGCTCGGCGTGCTTCATCACGCAGACTTCAGAAGCCAGAGAGATCGACATCAACGCGAGTGGTAGGCACATGGGCAGACCTGGTCGCTCGTTTTGATACCACTTTAAATCTGGCAAAGCCATGGATGCCTTTTGGCCGGTTTGACCTTACCAACGAGGCAGTATGACGAATTCACGTGCTTGATCTGCGTTCCTCGAAGTCCATGTGTTAGATTGGCGGTGACATGCGTTGCTGACAACCGTTGCATGAGCAACCGCAGTCGTGCCGGTAAAAGATCCGGAAATGTGCAAGCATCTTCGGGTCCTTGAACACGACGAACTCCCGATGGTCTACCAGTCCCCCCTCCGTTTTTGGTACTGCGGTAATGGAATCGTAGGGTGTTCCGTCATCACGCTGCGGAGCCCGAATCTGATCCTTTCCTCCGGCGTCAACCAGTTTCTTGACTATCTTGCTTTCTCCCAGAAGCACCCTTGTGACCAAGACGCATCTTTCACCTTGGGCATGTCGACATTTGCGGAAGTCATGGTTGCCGATGTCCTTGCATAGATCACAGGTTGTGTAAAGATCTGACTTGGAAGCATTTTCTGCGAAGTAAATACCCCTTCCAAACATCGCCCCGGCTGACTCTCCACCACGCTGGGAATCAAATCCCCGCGCAACAATTTGCTCTGTATTGCACAAGCTAGTGCCGTGATAAAGCAGGTATTCGTTCATGTCAACCCAGCCCTGCAGGACCTCGCACTTGAAGGCAGAGATGCCTGGAATTGGAGTGCAGCCACGGCGGATATCTTCACTCGCTCTGATACGACGTGCTGCCTCATAAAGCATCTGATTTGCAGGGTGAACCAACTCCTCGATGCGTGTCACAGACACCCTCGCTGGATCGCACCAAAGGTCAGAGCCAAGTCTCAAGCGATGGCCGACGATGGAGGATTGAAATTGCCGTGACAGAAAAGCATATTTAGCATCTTCTACACTCAAGCTTCTGCAAAAACATCTCACCGCTTCATCCAGCGGCTTTGGGGGAAGCTGTGAAAGGATTATCTTGCAATGTCTTTGCCAGCACTGCTCCAATACGGACTTAAGTTTCTCGGACTCATGAAAATGACATATCAATGCGGCATGTTCAGACTGCAGCTTCGCATGCTGCTGATCGGCCTGTCTTGCTGAATCATGCAAGTGCTGGACGGACCAGGTCAAGTCATCGATGTGTTTTGCCTTGCTCTCAACGTCTTCCTCCAGTTGTTGGATCTCTTCAGTCTTCTTGCGAAGGACCGCATTCAAGTGTTGGTTCTCTCCACGCAGGTGCTGGGCTTCTGTAGTCATCTTGAGTACTGCATCAGCATGCAGCGGAATTTCTCGTCTGCGTGCAGTACGCGTCTTCCTTGTATCCACATTTGTCTGCGTCATGTCAGAAAAATTGACGAGATACCTGAAGCCCGATCCAGTGATAGTCAGCTCCGGCTGTTCGTCCCAGTGTGCTTCTTCCAAGGACTGTTCCGCATCCGGGAGATATCGTCTCCATGAGTCCGGCTCTCGCTCCAGATACTCCCAGCAAGCAACTGTTTCGTACCTGCCAGAAGATTCGGAGCATGTCCGTGTACCTACCTGACGGAGGCCATCCACAAGAGCTGCATTGAACTCTTGCTCTCTCTCAAACATCCGTGTCTTGTCGTCCACCTTCTTTTGAAGGGCTGTATTGGAGCTGCGCATCCGCCTGAGCAGAATTAAGAGGCCTTTGTTGGACTTGCTCAACAGGAGCAAGTCACCTCTTACTTGGCGAAGCTCCTCTTGAAGCTCTGTCATAACATCCACATTGGGTACTTGATCTCCAGTAAGGGTTGGCTCCTCTCCTCCTTTCGTCGTCTCTGGGCTCCCACAGGCTGCAGCTTCTGCCGTCTCTGATCTGCACACCTCAGCTTCGGCTTGAAGCCGCTGCCGTCTTCTGATTCTGTTCTTATTCCTGTTCTTGCTGAGTACCATGGCAAAGAATCTGCCCACACCGTTCCTACCCGACCTGGCACTAAAGGGCTTACAGGTGAAGGCTTTCGGACCGTGTCGGCACTTGCACGCAATCCACATGCAGAGCATCTGAAAGCCGGGGCAGCTTTCAGCAAGCATCTCACATTGTGCACGCTGCAGCCCGCAAACACTTCTTGAACTCGGGCAAGGGTCCTTGAGCTCGTTGCCTCGACCTGGACGGGAGGAACTTGCCTTTTTCGACCATATGTTGTTCTAGTAAAGTTATTTGATGTTATTTAAATATGCCGTGCTGCACCGGCTATGTTGCTGTACTATACTATGCTGTACTTTACTAGATTTGTCTGATACACCGTAGTGATATCCCTCCATAGCGCTATCTTCTCTTACATGTTCGAGCCTTGGCCTCCACCGGCCCAAGAGCCGAGGGAACGCCACATGTAGCGCTTTTTGCAGAAGTTTTGGGAGACAGGTGCGTGTTTAGGGCTTCAGGGTTGTCGGGGTTAGAGGTTTAGGGGTTTGCTTAAAACATCCGTGATTTCTCCGTGAAGTTTGTGAAGTATCGACCTTTCGCGAAAATTTCGACCTCAACACCCGTAATGGCGCGGTGTCATGAACCCGTGCATGTGCTGCACGGTGTTGGCTCAGCGAGCATACCCAGAAAGAATGATGGTCCCGTGGTGAAAAGTTGCAATTATTGGAAAACGGGCGAGCAAGACCACTGACCCAAAGCGGTGTTGGCATCTGTTCTACAAGGCACGCAACTGTGCAAAGATCTGCACAGGTGCAGCTGCAAGACCTAGAGCTGCTAAACGTTCGTATATCAGAGTTCCGATCTGCTTCATGCTTCGAGCACAGCAATTATCACAAGTGTCAAGACAGTACGAGTAGAACAGTTGCTCCCACCTTCTGCTCCTCCATTCGCTTGAGAACCTGTCCAAGTTCATATCTACGCCGACCCGGGCAAATTTTTCTTAACTTTCGGCTAGCAACCAGGTCAGAACGGAGCTTGAAACCGCGAAAGGCAACGGCCACAGTAACTGTCCCGCACTTGAAGACAAAGTGCCTCAACTGCCGCAACCGGTGCCGAAGCCAGCGCCGCAGCACAATCCCCCCTCTGAGACTCGACTCCGAACCTCCAGCGGCATGGCGTCAGCAGCCGGCGGGCGAAGGAGGCTCCTTGGGGTTGTGGCTCTGAATTCCACTGCAGGGCACTGCAGGGCAGTCGAAACTCCCAGTGTGCTTGCAGACGCCTTTCATTTCCTTTCGGTGGGAGATGCGTGGTAATTGCGGACATGCTGCAGAGCATGGGCACAGGATCGGGGTTTCTAGAATGTCTTCTGGCTTTGCCGGCGTCTATTTCCGCAAACACAATGGGATCTTACAGGGAGCTGGGAGACTTCAGTCTGGGGCTTGGGGCCCTTGGGCTGAGTGTACACCGCCAAGCATCTTTATCCGTTCCTTTCGCAGCAATCTGTGCTGCACCCGGAACTTACGCCTTCTGCTTTGTTCATCAAGTTCAGCTCTTTCTCGGATGTCGGATCTGCTGTCTCAGGCGAAAACAAGTTTGCCTTTCACAGCGGTTGTAGTTCTAGTTGCTTGTTCCGGCACCTCTTCCTTGCAACCGGGAAATCCATTTGCAAGCGCTCTGGAGGTAGGATGCCAGAATGTACACACAAGATTCTGCATGCCGAGCTGCGCAGCCACTAGCACAGCTGCTGCAGATGCTGCTGCAAAGCCGCGGAACCTGAAGCAAACGAGATTGAAAGATCCGTCGAGTCCTAGCCCATGAGACAAGCTCATCTTCGGTTGGGATGAACCCTGGCTGCTCCACGCGATTCCACGCGTATGCAGTAACATGAAACAATCACCTCCAACGTCCTTTCCCTGCCGAGCTTTGGCTTTCGGGTTAAGGGGTTGGCTGCCCTTCAACTTCCGACTGTTCAGTAGTGCAGACTGGAAGTTCCGGAACCCGAAATCCCTGTAAGACCCCTGAACGCCCAAAGCCCCCGTAAACCATGAACCCCAAAGAAAACACCATCCTGTGATGGATGGGATTGATCTTGCAGCCCGTCAGCTGCCCCCAGGACTCTTCATCCGGCTCTTCGATGCCTGGCTGGGCGTGAAGAGCTGTCATAATGGGGCCTTATAATGACCTGATGTGCCTCTCAAGACTCAGTTCTGGCGGAGAAGGCAATACTCCGAGCAGGAAAACCATGTCCGGCGTGTAAATTAGTTGTTTGGGCTACTCTGCGCTGTCAGTTGATGAGTGCGTTACATATCGTTTTCCACACGTTGCATTTTGACCATCACCAGAGCTAGATCCACCGAAGCCTGCTCTGCCGGCTGCCGCTTTGCCGGGTCGCAGCACCGCCCTGCGCAGCAAAGGCTCTGTGAGTCAGAAAAGTTCGCCAGGCTTTCCTGTCAGAGTCCTTTCCAGCTTCATGAAAATGAATCCGAAGCCGCGGCAGCCCGGGCGGAAGCTTGGACGCGTTGGAATTCCTGTTGTCTGATAAGAGCCAGGCTGCACTATGTGCCTGCAACATGTCTACCACGCCGTCTGCAGGCTCTTTCTGGAAATAGGGGACCCTAGTACAGTACCCTAAAACGCCCTAAATAATAGAAGGACCCCAAAATGAGCTACCCCCCAGTTTCCGAAGAAGCTTGAAAGCTTGACGCGGAGTCCAAATGCTTCAAATCCTCGAAACTCGAAAGCCCCGAAGGCCTGGGCTTGTGAGACACGGGCCCAGCGAAAAGTGCCGCTCGGAGACCTCAATTCTCGCAGAACAAATTCGATGACTACTACTACTACTACTACTACTACTACTACTACTACTACTACTACTACTACTACTACTACTACTACTGTAATTCTCACGGTGGGAGTCCGAAATTTTAGGGTCGACAAGTACGCAGATTCTTTGTTATGGTTTGATTGGCTTATTGCTGCTCCAGGTTCCTCTAAAACTCTCAGATTTATGATTGCTTCCTGGGAGTCCTGCACAATTCAGCAATGGTCGCGAGATCCCTGAAGATGACACTGGAAAACGCTGTGATTTCACACATGCAGGCTTCAACAAATCAAACTTCAAGTGGCTTACAGGATGATACATCCTACTTGCACACTACAGGCTTTCTGGAGGCTAGAAGAGGCAAGGGCTCTCAATTACTTCGGGAGGTTTCCAACAACGGAGTCAAAGCAACTGTGCTCACCGATTTCACCTCATCCGCTGCTGCTCTCTGCCTGACATTTCATGCCTTCCTACGGCCCTGGAACAACTTCCGGGCACTCTGGGTCCAAGGTTCCTTCCAGGAAGATGCCACAGGCGAAGGCCCCGACAAGCGCCCGGTAGCGGGCCATGGTTCAGGGAGAAGTCTTGGGAGACAAAGGCTCGAGTCTCGAGGGTTCCTAGGAGGCTACTGTAGAAGGATGGCTTCATGCCGGCTCTGGCCTTGCCTATGTCAGTTATGTGATGGCATGAGTATTTTGCCACCATTGTCACGGAGATACGAATGGCTTGAGATTCGGCCAGCAAACTTGCAACACAAACATCTCTACCCAATTCTTTCCTGAGGTCTGCCAGCTGTTGGGATCAACCACTGCCTCTTCCTTCGAACGGGCCACGAAGTACTTGTCACTGCCGGGCTGGTTCGTGGGGTAGTACCTTAAAGCTGCGCACGTTCACGTCTTGAAGTGCAGGGACAGAAGCTCCTTGTTCGAGAACTCCGATCTCAACAACACGCCTGTATTCACACCCGCCTGGACTGTCAAACCCTCGCATAGGCCTAGGACTGGATCAGCTTCTTCGTTCTGAAGCCAAACGTAAACCTGCCACCCCAAGCCCAGCAAGAAGACCCAGGTATCCCGGAATGAGAAAATGGGGTGTGACACGGGCTGGCAAAGTGGATAACCCTAATGGGGGACTGCAACTCCAACTCGTGTCAAGTCCCGTGATCTAGAAAGCCCTGTGTAACCCTCTCGAGGCATCTACGACTCTGTAAATCCTTTGTTTGTGCCGTTTAAAAACCTTCCCGTCTGTGCCTCTAGAATATGAGACCACGAAACACCAACACCATGCAGAATCGGGAGGGACATCCTGACAGAACCCGTCTTCTTTCGGGATCTGAGGTCCCGTCACGGGGATGCGGTGGCCCCACCAGAGCTGCCTCAAGGTTTTGCTCGGCTTCCTTTTCTGGGTTGGGGCTTCGGCGGGTTTTTTGGGTAGGTCACGGAGGTGAAGAATCCCTGACTGGCCGCGGGCCCTTTCTCCCGAACGTTGCTTCGAGGTGGGCTAGTTGGCAGTTCGCACCTTGGTAACGCCCGAATACCCCAACCTACCCTCAGCCCCTAAACACCCTAGATGCCCCCAATACCCCAATCTACCCAAAACCCCTAGACACCTAGAAGAGCCCCAATAGCCCCTAAGGACCCTCGCCCACGGAATCTCCTGGACTCCCTGGGCCTCGAGATGCACCAGGGCTGCTTCTCCTTGAGCCAGTCTTGCCAAGTCCTGGCCGGATCTTTGGTCGGGTCTCTAGGAGGCTTCTTTAAGAGGGCTCTATTATAGGGGATTGCAAGGGTTCTAAGCGGGTCTCTTTGAGGGGTTCTATAAGAGGGGTCTATAGGGGATTGCAAGGATTCTAAAAGGGTCTCTTTGAGACTTCTATAAAAGTTCTATGAGCATGGGTTCAGAAGTGCTACTAAGAGGGATAATACTAAAAGGGTTCTACATATGAGCATGTTCTAAAGGGCCCTAGAACAAACTACTGGAGGGGATAATAAGCAAAGGGTTCTACAAGGCTTCTATATATGGTTGTTACAGGAATTTCATACGGTGACTATAAGAGTTCTGCACTAGAAGGATGGGCTTGTACAAGGGTTCTAGAAGAGTTACTGTTAATTAGGTTGTAACCATGGGCGTTGCAACGATACTTGTATCGGGATCCAATCGGTATCGCCGCCGAACCGTATCCACATCCCAGAAAACTACATCGCATACATCGATGTATGGGGGTTCAAGGACAATTTAAGGTGCGTGGAGTAGAGCGGGTGGAGCGGGTGTGGGTGTGGCTGGAGGTGGTATCGAACCGCACCGCACCACCAACAGCTTACACTCGCTAACAACCGCAAGCGGATCGATAATCATGGTTGACATGAGGATGCAAAAAGAGTTTCTGTGCCGGTCTTATTAGGGCTACTATCAGCGAAAGAGATTTAGCTACAAAAAGGTATATCATGCGTTGCCATTACGGAGGCAATGCAGCCAGCTGGTGGCACGAGCGGTAAACGTGTAGTACAAACATCAAGGACCCCATCAACTGTCAACCTCGATCCGCAAGCAATCAGGTCTAGTTCTCTGTGACACGAACGTGCGAGGACACACCTGTCACTTCGCTCCCCTCAAAACAAGAACACCAAGTCACGCATGAACTCTGGGCCGCCGCAGGCAAAAGGTAAGTCACGCCGTGGCGACTTCACGAAGCGATCGGGCTGAATGGTAATATCACCAGACCTCAGCGCAGAACAAATGTTGACGGCAACAAAAGCTAGAGTAGGCTCTTGACCTCCCGGGTTCCCCTTGAAGAACTTCAACCTTGCATGGCACATGGCTTTCGGACAGTCTGAGTCGTGAGAGGCCCGGGCTCCACAGCATCCATGGCCCGCTGAGCCATGACCTGAACAAGGCGATCGAACGTCATGCGAAGTTTGAGACGAGAAGCATATATATATATATATACATAATATATATATATATATATATGAAGACAGCTAGATAGATAGATAGATAAATAGACATACATGCATATCTACATAACCGCATACCTACATACCTACATACATACATGCGTGCGTGTATGTTGTGTATATATACACAAATGTAGATGTATGAAACTACTTGAACATCTAGATATTTCAATGCAACGATGCGAGGGCGCAGGGCTCACATCAGCGGACCTCGGTGGACACGAACCATTGATCAGAGAGCATCGGCTCAATGACCTCACCACTCCTGTCAAACGAAGTCAAGGACTACATTCCGCAGCTCGGGCATCTGTGCTTGAACTCGGCACATAAACATCTACTAAGCAACACGATCTCCATGAACATAGCGGACCCTGTACATCTCAAGATTTGCAGAAGCTCTATGACAATGTACAGCCTACATGCGCGAATGTGTAACATGTGGTCTTTCCATGCACTGCCCTTTCCAGCCTCTGTGAGAGAGGCACGCGCTGCATGTGGTCCTTGTGTCTGCGCCCATGCTGCCCACAAGACGAGACATGGAACTGCAGTCGCAAGATCCCGCTGCGTGTCCTCCACCTTCAGGGTCAATCCGGCCTCTTCAAGATCCGCCCAGAGCTTCTTCCGGCCTTGACAAGCTCAACTTTCACTGCAGACAGGTGAGAATGAACGATGGCCGGTGGAACCTGTTGAACCTGCAGTTGTGCATTGAATGTGCATCGTGCCTTCACTGCAAGCACTGGATGACCGGGTATCGGAACCGTCACAAGATGTGTTAAGCTCGGCACAGTCCGCACGATCAAGCCCAATGTACTGTGGTGAGCCTGTCCACAGGGGAATTGCGGAGCCACGAACATCTCCGTCGATAACTGCAAAGAGCTCGGCGCCTAGTGCTTCCAAAGTAGGGGACATGGATCCGTCAAGACCAATCACCTGGAATCGGAGGATGCATCGATCAATACTCACAGTACTCTCACAGTCTTACATCATGTTCAGAAGATTCTTGAGATCATGGTCTTATGTTCTCCCCGTTCCTTCCATCACCCAGGCTCTTTGGGGCCCGAACAGAGTGGCTCTCCAGCTTGTGCGTCTGGCCAATCTCGAAATCGTTGAAATCGTGAGCAGGCGTAATCTTCAGCGCCCCGGTCCCAAACCTCTGAGACTTGGCGGATTGCAGCCAGTACGCTGTCCCAGAGCTCATGTGCACAACGCTAGGTTAGGTTCATACAGCCAAGCCGGGGCTCTGGCGTCTCTCCTTGTATGCTCTTGACAGCTGGCAAGAGTTAGAACTCGCGAAGCATATTCTACTAGCTGCTAGCAATTAAAACCTTTCCGGGGCTTCCACTCTCTGTCCACGTAAGCATCTGCAATCACCGGAATTCGCCGGCCTCGTCACGTGCATGGACTTGTGGACTCAGACTGAGAAGAAAAAGCCGCAGACAAACTGCATATCAACATGAAAGACCCGGAAAACCTCCTGTTCAGACAATCCGCTCGGACGCATCCCACGCAATTCATTCCCGCTTTCTTCATGACGTGGAGTCATGAACCGTGGCGTTCTACCGTGTTGGGAGCACCAACCATGCTTTGACGATCGACAATGCAAGCTCTTCGAAAACGGTATGATGGATGCCATCGCAGAAGCAGTGCTTCAGCGCTTGTAGCAGCCATGTTAGTGGCTGCTTGGCAGTTGATAGAATAGTGTATGAATGCACATGCATGTAGGATATATGACCACGCATGTATAGCCGCATAGATAGTGCAGTCAAGTCGTACTTCGCGAACCCCCAATCAGGCGGCGTGCATAACTGCATCTACCCAAAACGGTCCAGACGCAAGAGGTGGATGGATGGCTGTCGAGGTTTAGGCTTTTTGGTCAGGCTGAGGGCTTGGCTTATAAGGCTTTGCAGGTCAAGGAGTGTCTGGGAGCAGGAAAAAAGAGACAGCTCACCAGCACGATGGGAATTACATTTACTCCAACCCTCGATTGCCCCCAAACTTTCACCGGATGCGGCCACCGCCCACAAGTTAGTAAATGCGTATGAGTCAAAGCCAACGTCGGCGCTCCTACTACGTAGGTGGTGTGCGCCTTAAAGCGACACTGTGCGTGGTCTTGTATCTTGAACCGGCAAGAAGCTATCTCCACCCCAACTATGAAACCCCAAAATGCAGCGTGTGACAGTACGCAGTCGGAAGCTTGTAGAACCGAACTGAAACTTCGAGGCACTATGGTTTGCCTGTTTCGTGCCTGAATATATATATATATATATACATACACACATACACACAGCTGTTATTATTATTATTATTATTATTACTATTATTATTATTATCATTATTATTAGTATTATTAGTATTATTAGTATTATTAGTATTATTAGTATTATTAGTATTATTAGTATTATTAGTATTATTAATATTAGTATTATTAATATTATTAGTATTATTATTGTCATTATTATTACTATTATTATTATTATTAATATTATTATTATCATTATTATTATATATATATACTTCGCACTGACGCCACAGTTTTGGAGATATGCATGTAACGCAAGCCTGCGCTTCCTTCAGGGGCGTATGACTCTGATGTGTTCGCAGGCAGCTGGCAGGCAGTAGCAACACCGAGCGTGCATCTCAGCGACATCTTTGCATGACCCTACGAACATGGTTCGCAGAAGGCCAAGGGTTGTGAGTTGACTTGCAAAGCATCAAGTCGGTCATGGGATGCTATGGTAAGGCAACAGAGAGGGGCTTTAGGCCAAAGCTCTTGGTCCAGCCTGACCGTACAAACTCCAACCGATCTACATGAATCTGAATTCTGGGAGCAACGATAGTGACGATATGAATCAATCGAACCGCAGGGTGTTGATCAGTTTCCCACTATCCACAGCCTGGAAAAATCCAAGAGACAGCCGTCGAAAAGGCTCGTGGGGCTTAGCGAGTGAATGCAGGCTATGTGCAAGTGCCCTACCAGGAAATGTGGATATCGGACTTGTTCATTTACTTAAAAGCGAACGTCTGCCGCACCAGCGCCTAATATGGACTTTCAAAAGGTATGGAAGGGCTTCCGATGTGTGGAAGTAGCGACTTCCTCCAAATAATCAGCCCTTGCTTATCATGGGGATACCCTCAACAGACCCCTGAAATCCCCAAAATCCCAAGTCCGCAACTCAAAACGCTAAGCCGTTTTCAGATGGCCACGGCACCCTGGATTGGCACGATGACGTCTTTGCCGATGAGATGCTCGTAGCGTGGGTCCTTTCACGGAAGGCCCCGGCTACGCTGCACATCTAGTGTTCTTTCTATAGAGTGAACTGTGCATGTCGTCGAACTGCCCTTCGAAACCAGCATGAAGGACGAACCTTACATGTGAAGCCTTGCAGAGACTTTCGATCGACAGCTGTCCCCTAAGAGTCCTCTGCGTGAGTAGCTGGCTCCTTAGAAACCCCTGACCGGCAGGACAGAGCCTTGAGCCCTCCAAGCTTGCACAACCTGAGAAGCCCTGCTCCACCTGCCGGGGTCCTCCGGATGCACGCAGACCGCCGTGTCACCCAAGATCGTCTCCGGCCGCGTTGTGGCGACAGGGATGAACTCCTGGTTGGATTGCAGGATTAAGTTGAGTAGACGAGGAGTCTTCGTCAAATTCCGGACAAGTTCTGAGCGGTAGAGCATTCCGGCTTAGTGCGGCATCAGCGTTGCGGCGAGTCGCACGGAGCCGTAAAGCGGGTCTGCAGGGCAAGGCTTCCCCCCTATGGCGAGTCGACGGGAACACAGGCCAAGTTGGAATCAAGAGCACTCGCATCCCGGGTAAATTGCAAACACCCGCTGCCTGCAAGCCCGCCCGTGCACTCAGTACTCTCTGCTCGCCCACAGCAGAAAGCCTATCACTAGCCGTGCAACTTGCCCTCAGACCTCACCAAACATGTCCGGCGCTAATTATTTAGCTATGATAGAGACCTCGTCAGGTGAGGGCATGCAGGTCGTCGCATGCACTTCTTGCGATAACAACTCCGGCAAATAAATTTCGAGACCCACGAACAGTAACATACAATAACCGTGTCGTCGGACTCCCACCAGCTAGGCATTAAGTGTCATGCTTGGTCACGCCGTAATACTTCTAGCACAGTCGTCTGGTGAAGTGATGACAATCGCCGTGTTATTTTGACAGAGCAAACATGTTTTCCGCATCTCAGGTCCTCTGTATCCGCAACCATATACCTCGCAAGAGATATTGTGATGGCACGTCTCTTCCCTGACTTGTCTACCAGTCTACCAGACACCACGAACCCCAGGAGTAGTCGAAGGGCTTGAAGTGGTAAAGGTGGCCCTGCACATCGGAGTACTCCACCTGCAGCTGGAGCACTGGAGGTCCCTAGATCTAGCCTGCAGGGGTGGCGGTTCTGCTGGTGACGAGTGTTGATGCATGCGTTTGGAGCTGTCAAAACCTGGCGAGCCAGAAAGATCGAATAACTCCTTGCCACAAGCACCCCAAAGATCTCCCTGCGCGAGAGTCGCAACCATGCATGGCGATTCTTCAACACCCAGCGGATACGTCCCCTGTGGCAGGGTGCCTCGAGATCGCTGACGGCCGTCTGGAGAACCGGGCTCCAGTTGACCATCCTCTGACCCCGGAAAATGGCTCCCTTCCTCAGCCGGCAGGCTTGGATCCTTGAGGACTCTCTAATGACTATTTATTGGAACCAGGTTATGGGGTGCATTACACTGTATGTGTGCCATTCAGTAGGGAGCCCTAAATATGATTACACTTCGAACAGGCTGAAGCGTCCCACGGAGTGAACTGTGAGGCCGAGGGCCGCACTCGTGCAGCCGACAGAATGCCTCAATGACCTGAGGCAAGCAAGGTCCAAATGAACTCGCGCTTTCCAAACCTCCCGGATTGAAGCAACTCTTGCAGTACCTTTTGGCAGCCATAATTAATTATAGTAGCCCTTATAGCAAGTAACCCTAACAGTAGCTCTGAAAGCGCTTCTGACAACCGACACGAGTACCGACACACATGGAAAGCCATCTCCTGCTGCTGCAGATTCGAGGCCCTAGCCGCAGAGCTCATGTGGTCGTTCAAGGTGAACTGCCTGGGCTTGTTTTGGGCGCTGCTCTGGTGTTGAAGCGGCTGAACCAATCGTGAAACCGATGAACATCAAACCTAGATGGCCACACATACACACACACACACAGATAGGAATTTGGCCGTCATTACTTTGCACGGTTCAACCTACAAACAGTCCATCCGGCTCTTTCTCTCCCTCGCTCTCCCTCCCTCACTCTTTCCCCTCTCTCGCCCTCTCTCTCTCTCTCTCTCTCTCCCTCCCTCTCTCTCTCTCTCTTTCTCTCTCTCTCTCTCTCTCTCTCTCTCTCTCTCTCTCTCTCTCTCTCTCTCTCTCTCTCTCTCTCTCTCTCTCTCTCTCTCTCCAGCTATCACACGAGCAGACACACCTGCCAATGCATGACACTCGTGCCACACATGCTGAATCCAGAAGCTTTGCATGCTCAAGCACTGGTACACACAAGTGCACCGTGCAGAGCGTGCCAAGCGACGCTTGTCCCAGGCTCTGATTATTGAAAACTATGCTCAAAACATTGAAACTCTTATACGCTCAACCCGCAATGCCTTGAATGCCACTCTAAATCCCCAACTAAGAATTATAGACAGACAAGTCGGGGAACGACCCCCAGCATCCCTACCGCACTGAACACTATTTCTGTCACAGGCCTAAGCCCTCAACCTCAAACCCCGCCACGTTTTTCGCCCTAAGCCCAAAAGCCCGTCCTTAATCCCCGTTACATAAGCCAAATTTTCTCCTCCAGAAAAAGCCTCCCTGCTGGGACTCCCGGCTCGCGGGACCAGTCGGCTGAGGCTCCAAGTCGACGGAGCTGGTTCACCTTTGGCTGACTCAAGCCTAAACGGCCCAAAATTTCGAAATGTCCTATCTAACTCAGCCCCAAACTCTAGAGTTTCGAAATTTGGTAACTTAAACTAATTAACCCCAAACCCTAAATCCTGTTAGAGTTTCGACATTTGGTAACGCTTCTTTCAAACCGGCTGAAACATGTCAAAAAGCTTCGGAGATGCTTCGATGGCTTCTGCACTCAAACACCGGAGCGGAGCGGCTAAGCCTTCTGCTCCGACTTGTGAGAAACAAACTGCTTTACGGATCTGCCTCTGGCTACCTTCTATAGAATGAGTATGGTCCTTTCTCCCTGCACTCTCCCAGCGCGCACTCACTTCGCAAGTATTGGCTAGGGAGCCAGTGCACACCGAAGACAAGCATGCAGCTGAAACATGACTCCGCCAGTCTACATGCTATTAGCATCAACATAAACTAACTACTTCCGGCACGATGATGATCCGCTGTGGCTCCGCACGATTGCTCCGCCCTTCTCGTCCTTCCATTGCCACACCTCAACATCGCACTCGTGATTGGCGTCTGCGGAGCCGAGTGATTCAGGCTGTAAACAGCTTGCAACTTGTGCATGCCCTCTTTAGATGGCGAGTTGGTGATGGGATGCGCAGCGGTCCTTGATTCTTTTGCAGGAGACTGCGGATAGCCCTGGCAGATCCCGGATGCCGACGCGGCTTGTCTATAGGTCTGCCAATAGCACTGCAAAGCGACCCAGCTGTGATAGTCTGATGGGTCTGTACGACCGACGTGCAGATCAACTCTTTGATTGCGCAACTGGGGAAGAGACTGTTGTATCGGAATTGGCCAGTGAATCCTAACTTAAGCATCGCCAAGCAAAACTGGTAAGAAATCATACCAAGCTTATCTAGCGTATCTCGTCTGTGGCACAACACCCTTGCGTTTCATAGCATGTCTTGCTCCACGGTAGAAACCGGTTCTCCTGGCATTTCGCGTGATCGCATCCGCTCGAAACGCAACACAGGGGGTCTGACTCGTCGAAGGAACTCCTCTCGACCGACCTCTTGCCGCCTTAGGAGTCGCAGTTCCCGGAGCCAGGAAGGAAGGATCAGGCAGGCGTATGTGGACACATGGCTAAGTCAGCCCAGAGCTCGAATCTTGAAGGCTCAGAGCCTGGAGGGGATGAGGGTGGGGTCTAGCGTAGATTCATGGAATTTCGAAGAGCCTTGGCTTTGGAGCCCCAGTTCCTGGCTTCGAAAGACCGCTCCAAATCATATTAGCGTAACCATCACAAGCTTATGTTGCCTGCAGCATGCTCAGGAAAAAGTACGCATGGATAGTCGCTTGGAAAAACAAAAGCGGTTCGGAAGCCCTAGTTGACCTCTGGACAGGACATCAGAAGAAGGAAAGCCCTCCTCCGGAGCCCTCGAGATCAGAAGGGAGCCCGGCGAGGACCCCTCTGCAGCGAGCTGGCGTTCCTGGGCCAAGGGGTTATAGGCATAGGCTGGGACCGGCGGGGATCCAGCGAGAAGCTCTAACGCAAACACTGAAAGGCGCGGACTACCAGCATTTGCGTTGCGATGCCAGCGTGGTCGGTTCCTCTCAAAGCACATCATCTCATGGACTCTTGCCCCTCTGGCTACCTGACGTCGCTTCGGTTCAAGTGCGGTCGCAATTCAGCAGATCTTCCAGCAGAGGGCCCCCGAGCCCTATGGCCATACAAGCACAGAGCCCCAAGCCATCTCAAGCTCCGAACCCCTTTAAACATCACAGCCGGGCTCAGCCTGGTAACCACAGGGTGCGATCTCCGCGCATGCGGTGAAATCGAGTTACGACCTCAGCTGTGGATCGTCGTAGCCAGGATGATGACGAAACAAGACGCCTTGAAGTAGTCCGAAGAGGACGAAGGACAGCAATATTGCCCGACTTGATCTGGAAAGGTTGTGACGCTTCAGAACCCAGGCAGCAGTTCACAGCTGAGGCTGCAACATCCTCTAAGCTGACGAACATGGCATGACCTCAAGGGACCAAGCAAGCCCAACGGCGGAACGGGTCCGTAACTTGGCCCTGCTCCGGGCAGACTGGGCGGCCGACCCATGTGAAGCCTGGCCGTGTGAAGCACATTTCTTCAGTTAATTCGCTTGCAGAAGCTTCTGAACCAGGCTTCGATTCTACGCAGTCACAGTACTACCAGCAATCCCGACCTGCCCGTCACGTTTGGCGGTGGCATTGGGACCACGTAGGATTCGCGGTCCCCCTCAGATGCCTGCGGCACCTGCAGGCATAACGAAGGGGAAAACTACAGGAATTCTTGGTGGTGGGTACCGTCGCCTGGATGCGCGCAAACTAACTATGCATTACATGACGCTGGAGATGCCCCGTTTTTGCCTGGTAGATTTGTAGACTTCTGGAGTATGGGCGGCATAGCGGATTCCATGCTCTGCATGCGATCCGGAAATTCTGTGGATACGTCTGCATGGTGCTAGCTACGTGGAAGGTCGGAAACTTCCGCAACCACTGTCGGCCTCAACTATGGCCTTTGCTTCGGCGCCAGTAATATTGTGGGAGCACCGTGTTAGACAATATAATATGCTATCTTGACTGATCTGGTTTTCCAAGTCCGGTCCCGCTCCGACTTCGTCGAAACGACTTCTGAAAGTTGTCTGAAGCAGCCCAAAGTCGTCGAAAAAAACGATCACGGAAAGCATGCCAGTCTATACGATACTCTTTTGCATGTTGCTCTATTCTACTCTACCCCACCCTATACTTTATTCCACTAAACTGCATACTTTCTTGTACTGTATGCTCGACTCGACCAGACTAGACTCTACAATAGCGCCGGTCAGAGGCTCCCACAGGACGCTGTTTTGACCAGCGGCAGTCCCATCACCTCCAGCCCTCCCTCCACCCCCCTTACCGTCCTGTCCTCACAGCACCTCCTCCGTCCTTCCTCGACTACTCTCCACCTGCGGCCGGGGCCGCGAAGTGTTTACATTTAGAACCCCTCCAAAAACCCTTCTAACAAAACCCCAATACCCAAATATTTTGTCCCCTCTAATAACCCTTCTAGACAGAACCTTTACAGAAATACTTCTGACAGAACCGAAGTAATCTACCTCAGAGGACTTGCAAGAGCTCTGCCTCCTCGGCTACCTCCGGGCGGAAGAAGCCTGCAGCTTCCCACCAACCTGTCTTGGGCTGCTCTTCTTGTTGGGTAATTCTTACAAGGCACCTTATAAGGATTAGAGCTTCTGAAGAGGCACCTAAACGGGTTTCTGAAACTGTAGGCTAGTGTTCTGTCTTTCGCTGCACGCTCAAGGTCCCTATATAGTTCAGGACACTCCCATCGCAGTTCAGGTAGAATGTGCATCGCCTAGCGTAAGTCCAGGAACCCGGCATTTGTGTAAGTCCAGCAACCAGGACTTTCGCAAACTGTCGCTCTATACCGAATGGTATTCCGTGGCACGCGAAACCAAACCACACCAGAAGCCAGTACCTCCTGTTTCATCTCGGGCCCGGACGGTAAAGGTCCTCCTCCACAGCAGAGTACTCGTATCTGCCAGGCATGGACCTGCATGGCTCTCAGGGCTCCAGGGCCTCTATTTCGAACTTCCCTCCCCAAAATCGACGTGTTTTCCTCTGCCAGAGTGGTCATTTTCGATGAGGTGCTGTTTCAGAACAGCAGCAGGTGCTGCTACCCACAAACGAACTCACAAGCCAAGGAGTACCTTCACCGTAGTGTTAGGCTCTTGAAATAATGCAACAAAGGCATGCAGCGATCTTGTCGAACAATCACTGCAGTTGCTTCTTAGTTCTCCGGACTCCCTCTAACTGCTAAACACTTGATCCTGAACCCACAGCTCACATCCACACTGCTACCACCCTAAACCCCAAATTTCTAAACAATAAAGCCCTGAACCCCAAGGCCCTAAAGCCCTCACACCCTGAAACCCAAAAGCCAGACATCCAGAATTTGCCGGGGCCGAGGCCCATTCACCACAGATGTGGGGCACGAGGCGGAAGGTGCTGCGGCCTGGCGCTTTGCTTTGCCCCAGGGATTTATTTGCCCTAAAAAACATCTCGTTTGCGTGGGGCCTAATCTAGGGTTTGGAGCCTGTTTAGGATTTAAGGTTGCAGGGTTAAGGGACGAGGATTTTTCATGTTCACAAGACTTTGTGTTTTTTGAGGCTGAGGGTGTCAGAGCATACAGAGCGTACCGGGCTTACGGCTTCAACTGAAGGGTTTTAGGGTTTGGGATTGACGGGAAGGGGGTGCTGGGAGCTCGGCTGGGCATTGGGGCTTCTACAGGGGTTTCACTGAGCTTCGGGCACCTTTCTCCGACGGTGGAGCCGGTGAAGCTACGAAGTTCTCGTGTCGTGCTGGTGCGCTTCGTGGAAATTGGACCCCAGTTAGAGGACGGGGAAACACAGAGTCTTGGGCAGCTGAGTTGCGGATATCTTTGCATACACAAATGCCTCTTTTTGTGACCCGTAACCTGAAGTAGTATATACAGGTGCAGTAGACACTCATCAAGACAACGGGTACCTGAGATGAAACCTCTTGAAAGGATCCCCAGGCTCACTTCGAGGGGTCCCCTCCGAAGCTCAGAATCCGGGTTCTGGGCTCCTCGGCGCATTTTTTTCTCGATGCACTGTTTGGAGGCTTCCTCCAAAAAGCGGCTTAGAGGTACAGCGACGCGGCGAAGATAATACCGCGTTTCAGCCGGTTCCGGCCCTCGTTGAGCTTCCTCGGATTCCGATTTAAGGTTTTGTGGATAGTTGTAGACAGCCCCCCGGTTTCATAAACTGATTATACGAACCTAGGACTGGGCCCTGAGTTGGGTGTGCACCTTCTGCAATGCACTACAGTCTGAAGCTCAGGACTCATGATGCATCGCAGACGAAAAACACCATCTCTTAACTTAATTACGATGTGACTGAGTTCGAAAAACACGGGCTCCCACATGTTGTGTGACTTGACGTTGCTTTGCGCCTTGGCCCGTTGAAGGAAAAATCAAAAACCTTTTGACTTCCTTATGAAATCCAGAGGGCTTGCTCATCCCAAACCCCTTACCATAAAACCAGAGTTGCTGAGCCAGCTCGTCGTTGCCGATGGTTTTGGCAGCAGTGGCCAGCTCGCGAACCAGCTCCTCCGAAAGCTTCACGGAGCTTGCAGCTCATCTGTCCGTGACCGCAGAAACACAAACAAAAAAGCAATGCGACGCGACGAATATTACAAACGCCACGATCATCCTCATGGTGAATGCCGTCACAACCAAATCAGAACCTAGTGTTGCACAGAGTTTAGAGTTTAAAGACCGCGAATGTAGAACTAGTAGTCCGGCAGCAATGCAGCACTAGTGCAGTAATACTAGTGGTACAGTCGCAGAAGTCATACATCAAATTAGCCACACAAGTAGCTGTACCGGACTAGCACAGTAGCAGGTCGTACAGCAGAGGTTTAGGGGCACCTAGAGCTTTTTGGGGCGTTTAGCGTCCAATACTCGACAGCAATGCCCGATCATTCCAAGCTGCCAGAAACCAAAACACACTAAGTAAGAAGACGTTTTCCTTCTTTGTACATTCCCTTCCCCCCCTTCCCCCCCCACAATCGACCAAGCCTGTTGACGGCACAAATGCAAAAGTGAGTGCATCGGAACAAACGCAACAAGAGGGTGACCTAATCACACACAGTCCAACAAAACCAGCAAAGTAGAGGCCGTAAGGGTACATACCAGCATCTGTTAGTGCGCCAGCGGTTTGGAAAGTGATGAATTGTTGGGCTCAGGAAGAGGAGGCTGGAACATGTTTTGATGTTCCAGACATCTGGACACTTGGAAAGCCTTGAAATAATTGCCCAACCTTTGGTGGCCTGGGCTACACTACCACGACCACGACTGGCCCTCTCCTACTGTTACTACTACAGCGACGACTTCTACCCACACGAAATATTGCGGAGACAACAACGAGACGACGACGACTCTGCCACAAGACGTCTGACGTCTGGTACAAACAATTGCACTAATCACGGCTCATGGCCTTGTCAGTGATTACAAAGCATCGAACTCTCTTGCGAAGTTGCCTCCAGCCGCCGGATGACGCGGACCACGCTTCCTGCAGGGGTTTCTGTCTTGGGGCTCCGGCATAATGACGAAGTCAGTGGCAGCCCGTCCTTCGTAGAGGTTGCATTGGTTCCTGCATGAGCTTGGTCGTAAATTCAAAATTAAGGCTCAGCACTCAGATCTTAAACAATACGGGTATGGATGGGCAAGGTCACCGATCTATTGCCACTGTTGCCAGGCTCCGACACGGCTCGCGAAGTTGAGTCTGCTCTGGGCCAAGTGGCATGATCTCATGAAATCTCTTGCCCTCCAGCCAGCCCAAGACCACCTCCAAAGACGGGATCAATGCAAATGGAAATGCAGCATGTAGAGTTTCGACTAGAGGGACTTCGAGGCACGGTGTGAAGGCGTCAAATTCTTTCGACACTGCTGTAAAGCAGCCCAGGTGGTAGACTAGGCAACTGCAAAAGATTCCAAGCAGCTTCTAGCTAGACTCTGGCTTTACCCGATCTCACATCGTCCCGAAGCCTGCACATCTGGCACTCGCCGAACGAAACCACCGACAGTCACTCTGCCCCTCTAATCTGCAGGACACCTTGCAAAGCTCAACCGCTGATTACCTGGTTCCACTGCATGACCAGGGCGGAAGCGTAACCCTTTTTTTGGTTTGCAGCAGCATCGCTTGTTCACTGAGGGACAACCACAGGACTCAAACCTCCTTCTCTCTCACATGTTGTTTGGAAGCGCATGCCGACGAAGCCTCACACACCGACATACCACGTACATCGACTCACTCGTCAACAAAACACTCGGGGAGTGACCCCAACATGAGATACCACCGCCCCGTTTTCAGGCACCTACTTCAGCAGGCCTCCATGAGCTGCGGCTTTAGCTTCTGCACGTACTCCTGCGAAACTTGAAGCTTCGGGTTTAGGTCACTCACCCAGCTCGGGCTGTGTGCCACGCCTGCCGGCTACAGCTACCGCACAACGACTACGAGGAATACTAGCACACTTGTACACTTTCACTCGTACACTACTGGTATAATCCTACACTGGTACAGTGGTACACTCGCACACTCGTACAATGGTACACTTGTACACTTTTACTCGTACACTACTGGTACAATCGTACACTGGTACAGTGATACACTTGCACACTCGTACAATGGTACACTTGTACACTTTCACTCGTACACTACTGGTATAATGCTACACTGGTACAGTGATACACTTGCACACTCGTACAATGGTACACTTGTACACTTTCACTCGTACACTACTGGTATAATGCTACACTGGTACAGTGGTACACTCGCACACCCGTACAATGGTACACTTGTACACTTTTACTCGTACACTACTGGTACAATCGTACACTGGTACAGTGGTACACTCGCACACTCGTACAATGGTACACTTGTACACTTTTACTCGTACACTACTGGTACAATCGTACACTGGTACAGTGATACACTTGCACACTCGTACAATGGTACACTTGTACACTTTCACTCGTACACTACTGGTACAATCGTACACTGGTACAGTGATACACTCGCACACTCGTACAATGGTACACTTGTGCACTTTCACTCGTACACTACTGGTATAATCGTACACTGGTACATTGGTACACTCGCACACTCGTACAATGGTACACTTGTACACTGGTACACTAGCACCAGCACAAGTATTGAGTAATTCTGCTAGTGGTAGTGCTACTGCTACTACTACTACTACTACTACTACTACTACTACTACTACTACTCCTGCTGCTACTGCTACTCCTACTCCTACTACTACTACTACTACTACTACTACTACTACTACTACTACTACTACTACTACTACTACTACTGTTGTTGCTGCTACTACTGCTACTGAGTACTGCTGCTACTGGAACTACTTGTTGCTACTGACTTCTGCTACTACTGCTACTACTCCTACGACGACGACTACTACTACGTCTACCATGACCACGACCACGACCGCTACTACTACTACTACTACTACGACGACGAGGACGAGGACGAGGACCAGGAGGACGAGGACTAACAACATGGATTGCTATGGCTATCATGTCATGAAGACCACAACGTCTGTGTCACCGTGCTGACCGAAGCTGCATGGCATCGACTGAACCGAAGCTGCATGGCGTCGACTGTGCAATGCACGATCACAGTAGCATTGTCCAGACTCCTCCACGTCCAAAGGAATCTTGTTCTCCACCTGGTTCGTTCAAGTTCCAGGCGAATTTCGAGAAGCAACAAAGCCCTGACACATCCAGCTGCCCCTGCAGTACACCTTACTTACATCATGTGCCATGCCCCGTGAAGCATTGTGAAGCTCAATCAACACCCACAGAGTCACCTCTTGCATTTCCTCGAGCACCCCCGCGGTCCATGCAAGGACAGAGAGAACAGACAAGACAACGGCTTAGCTTCTATTCTACTCCAAGTTGGCTGCATCAGAGGCACCATTACCTCGGCGACATTCCGTGCGATGCCCTTGCAGGTTTCGAAGGCCTGCAGTCATCGAGGGACAATGACATGCTGTGCATTTGAGAAGCATCCCGCTGCCTTCATGAGGTCGAGGTTGTTCGTGATCGGATCTTCCGACTTCTCGTCCTCAGGCAAATCTGAGAATCCGGGCCAGGAGAGCAAAGAAATTCATGAGAAGCCGGGTGGGCGCAAGAAGCCCGCGTGAGCCTCACAACTTGGAGCCTAGAGCTAAGCCTCTGAGGTCAGAGGTCTCTTGCCCCAAGTGCTATCACAGTATCTGTCTAGATTTTCAGGCCTTTGTCTTTCTTCCTTTTGGAAAAATGTTAACCAGCCAGAGGCTCGAAAACCAAGCAGGAACACAACGCAATGATGTTGTTGGCATCAATGTCTGCGAAGACGTTCTGGAAGACAATCCTGAGATGAGCTGGAGGTGGAGGTGTGAGAAGCAGTGTTGCCGCATTCTCTGCGGTCTCGGGATATCCCGGCATGCACTGAAACATGGAGCTGCCGACGGAATCTAAGCGCGTCCATTGAGGGTGTCCACCGCTGTAGACGTTTATGATGCACATGGTGACATTGGGAACTCACAGGTTTACTTTCAAGCCTTTCAGGGTTTATAGAGTAGTGGTGGGGACCTAAGCTATGTACTATAGGGCCTAAATAGTTACCTATACTATTTCGGTGGTTCCTTATTATAACTATTGTAAATCCAAAAATTTTGGAAACCTAATTTAGGAAAAATCGTGCTGGGATGCCCTTTACTTTGCTCTTAGGGATTGAGGCTATCGGGTTTCCAACTTTTAGGCTTCTGCTGTATAGCACAAAATACGTCAAAACCCAATTCTATAATTGTTAAGGCCCCTGCATTACTGGCCCAAGGCCTCCAAGTCTCTCTGTCATCAAGACTTCGTCGCAGCTCGTGATTTCACAGGCCATCCGTCCCTTCAGTTGTACAACGCCGTCCTTGTCAATGAACTCCAGCCTGTCCGACTTCGAGTACATCTTATAAATGGACTTAAAAAGGAAAGCAATGACCTCGATGTACAGATTTTTGCCAAGGCTTTACCATCGCACTATCAAGAACCATGCGAGCCAAAGCTGTGCCAAGAGACAGGTTTGGGATTGGGGTTGGTTTTCATGCGGGCTTATGGAACCAAACCATGCAGCGGCCTCCGAAGAACTCTCCTCATGGCACGAAGGTCGTCGTTCATGACCTGCAGTTAACTCCATTCCTAGTCGTCATGGAGCTTTGCTGCTGTAAATCCCTATGAAGCCGACGGCCAACTCTTCTCAAAAACTACCTGTTGACGTCGGGGTGCCATGAAGCGGCTCTGGTTGATCTGCCTCGGCATCAAAAAGCTCTCAGGACTGCGCAGGGCCAGGGATGTCAGGACCCATGAGGATCAGGACGAGATTGAAAACCGAGGGTACAGCAGCTACAGAGAGATCTGCAGCAACCAAGTTGCTTGTCCAACTCTTGCACCTGGCTGTGGAGCCTGACCTGCCATCGTCGCAGCCAGGACAGGAGGCCAGGTCAGCACAATGGGATGCGTCCCTTTAACACTGCATGTTTGGGGCTACTGGCTTCAGGGCATAGGGCTTAGGGTTTGTCCTCGCGGCTAGTGTGCTTCTGGCTTAAGATTCAGCCCCGAGACCTTCGAAGAGAAGCAGTCGTAGTACTGCTTCAGCTTGTCATGCTTGTGGAAGTTGTTCCTTGGCGTGTTTGAGCTCGGAGTGGAAATCACACGAAAACTACTTTGAGATGAAAGCAGCTTGGCAAACCCCCGAATCCACAAAGAAGTTCTGAGTCATGAGCTCATCCAGTTCACACCCGTTTCAACAGAGGCGCGCCGCAAGCTTGGTCTCCAGATCCTTGATGCCGGACAACACGCTGTTCATCTCCTGCCAAGCTAGGAGGCTTAGGAATCCGTGATCCTGAGTGTCACTATCTGTTTGTGCGAAACCGGTTTGTATTGCCTTCCGAGTGATTCACGTGCACAATTGTTGCAGATCATTATTGGGACTGCCCCAGCCAGCTCGCCAACTCCGAAGCAGCTGTCACAGTTGCTATGCAGAGCTTTGCCTACATTCGTCTCTAATCGGGCCCCCCTCCCAAATCCTGAACCTTGCTGTCTCTCCTCGGACTGGATGTTCATCTCAGCTACCGGGTCGAGTTCCGGGATGCCAAGCTTGAAGGTCTTGTGGTTCCTGAAAGACTCAAAGCTTCAGTCCCCGGCTTGCATGAGCTGCCGGCCGGTACGGGGCCCGGGGTGTATTCCTACAGAGAGGCCCTCCGGGTTCAGGCTTGCATGCCGTTCTCAGGATCTTTGCGCTTTGGCTCGAGATCGGTTGCTGCTTCAGTCTTTTGTCGGAAGTGGTGGAAGCTGCCATTGCAACCGACTACTTAAGATGCACTTGGCATGGCAGCAGGGATGCATAAGAGCATACAAAAAGCGTGCAAATGTGTATGTTCAGTGCTTTCTGTGATGCTCCAAACTCCAGGCTGGCTCATCCCGGAACGGATTCATAAGCCGCGTCCAACCTCCAAGACTTCCAGCAACCTTTAACAGTCCCGAGCACGGGACAAAGGTGTGCTCCAGGTTCGGGAGAGGTTTCTGTACGCCTTGAAGTCCCGCTCCATGAATACGAAACACCCTAAACCCTATACCTAGCCTTTGTCATTGTCGTACCCAAAAAACCCTACACACCAACCCTGAACCTCGAATCCTCACTGTCCGGATACCCAAACTCCCCAAGAGATCGAAGCCAGAGCGTCTTGATTTGGTGCAAGGTCTTCAGCAAGGCCCTCCTTGAGTCCTCCGACTCGGGATCCTCAGACTTTCAAGGCTTCGTAGAGCTTGGAATTCAGGGACTTAAGGGCTTATGAGACTTATTGAGGTTTGGAGTCTGGGAGTTAGATTAAGGGCTCCAGGGTCGATGGGCCTTGCATGTATAAAGCTTCTGTTAGGGCGCGAGCGCTTCAAGCACGGTTCGGGTATCAATCCAAGAAGCTCCCTTTGTTCATCCCCGGATGTGTCAGGGTTCGAAGTCGATGGCTTCGGGTCTTCAGTGGAAGTAAGCCGAAGCCACTTGGCCCCGATGCCCAAGCCGTGAACACGCACAAAATCTTTGACGAACACCTGTAATTAAAGGAGCCCTTCTGACGATCTCTTTAGTTCCTTCGCAGGAAACCTCCACTTCGTAACCAGCCGAAGGTCTTCCTTTCAGACTGCAGGATTGTTGGACACGATACGTGAATGGGCATGGGCCTTAATAATTGCAATGGGGTTCTGGAGATGCTAGTTGAGAGGCCAAGTCCTTTGGGGATTTCTTCGCGTTGATGTTTTCTTCCACGGAGGCTTCTACATCATAATTCTCAGGGGCACCAGCGTATTTTCGAGCTCAGAGGGCTTAAAGAGTTTGAACTGCTTGAAATGTTGCGTGGAGATGACATATCTGTAGGAATGCTTCAAGCATCGACTCGGCGAGTTGACGACTCCCATACACGACTTTGCACATGCGTGGCCACAACGCGCAGTGCCACCTGTTTTGCATCCTCGGAATGTAGTACCCGAAACACATCGGAAACTGAGTCCGAGGCTAGTGTTCTCTGAAAGCTTTGGGCCCCGTGCAGTCCGCTACCGGCCCCTGTCATTGAAAGTTTAGGCTTGCAAGAAAACTAAAGAGTCCGCAGTTACCAGACCAGGCTCCCCAGTCGGCATATTGGATCGGATCTTGCTGATCTTGCTGACCAACGTGAGGGCCATGGGCAAGATCTTGCCTCAACTCGGAACAGCAGCACGAGCAGCAGCAGCAGGAGAAGGAGAAGGAGAAGGAGCAGGAGCAGGAGGAGCAGGAGCAGTAGCAGTAGCAGTAGCAAAAACAATGATAATAATAATAGCAATGATGGTAAGACAAAGCCATCACTACTCCGACTACTCCCAGCAGCCCCAGATCTACTCTCCAAGACCCGGCCAAGAAATCAAGACCCGAAAACCGATCGACGGCTAAACTCCTCCATCAATACTAAAACCCAAAAAGAACTCTGACTAACCAAATACCTTGACCCTCAACCGTTGTAATCAGAGCCTTCATTTCAACAAAGGACAGCAATAAACCCTAAACCCTATACCTTTACCCTAAGCCCTAAACCCAAATCCCCTTAAAGGCACCAAACCCTAAACCCTAAAACTCTTCCCCCTGACAGGCACTAAACCCTAAACCCTATATATCTCTTTCCTAAGCCCTAAACCCCAAATCCCATTAAAGGCACCCTCTCTTTCCGGGGCGCCCTCGGGCTTCCCTCCGTTCGCTGGCTGCGGCTTGTCAGCTCCCGGCTCGCAGGGCATGAAGGTGTCGAGCACCCACCTGAGGCGTTTTGTGCGCTCTTGGGGTTTAGGATTCAGGGTTTAGGGTTTGGGGTTGAAGGGTTTAGGCTTTTAGGGTTTAGGGCTTTCAGGCTTGAGTGTTTTTCGGCGCTAGAGTACAAAGGTACTCGGGCTTTTTGGGCCGAGAACCGCTTGCGACAGGGGCTGCTTTCGTTGAATGGGGGGGTGGGGGTTTTGGGGCTTAAGGCCTGGGAGCTTGGGCTTTGGGTTGCTTCAAGGCTCGAGCTTCAGAAGATAGACTTACTAAGCTGTGCAATCTCCGTTTAAATATTGCATCTCATAGCTCACATAGCTCACCCTGAGGCTCCATGTGCCCAAGCAGTATATACTTTGGCCCCAAAGTACCTATATAGGGACATGGACCCTTAGGCTCATAGAACCTCCTTTTAATTCCGTCCAAGATACTGCGGCTCTGAGTCCTCCGCCTCCAGGACGGAGTTGCCGTTGTCGCCTCTCGAAGCTCGGGATGCTCGGGAGCAGGGGGATAAGGGCCACTACCATGTAGGAGCTTTGATAACTACAACAGGGGCCGGGGGATATAGTATAGTAGTATAGCGATAAGAACGGACCCAACGGAAGAAACTTCGCACTCATTGAGGTTACCATTATGACTACGGGCGTGTAAAAGTCTGGTGTCTCCTGCAATCATGCAGGCAGTGTCTCAGAATGCTGCAGCTGCTCATTCCGCCACGAGGGAAGCTCCTCCTACTCCAAAACATCTTGCAGCCACCGCGAGGTGCAGCGTAAGCGATGCTTGGTCTCACTGGCAGCACTGGCTCAACAATGTTTCAGTGGACCACAGCTGGGACCAGAACGGAATCAACGTCAACGGGAGTTGCCGTAGGAATTAAGAATCGCCCGGCCTGTAAGCTTCTTTCTGGAAGCACTGACGAGGATGCCCCAGCCCCAGTCTGTGTCCCCATCCCGCATGTAGACCTGAGGTGAACGAGACCGAACAACAAGGCTGGCCCCCTCCCTCCATCCCTCCATGCACTCCCACTGTGGCTTTGTCTCTCGCTCTCACTTTCTCTCTCCCGGCTTCTACTCTTCTTGATTGTGCTGTCCATGCTTTTCGCACTCTGGCCCCAAGGTGGGGATCACGTCGTCGCCCTGTGCGCGCGTTTCCCATGACTATAGGTTCTGCCGTTCTCGTTCTCCCCAGTGCGGCCGAAGATGCCAGGCGGCCTGGATTCAGGAAGGGTGCGATGTTCTCGGGGCGGACAACGATCTCTCGCTTTTCGTCCTGTGCTTGCATCAGCTGGAACCCCAACTGCAACCCGACATTCGGCCTGGAATGTGCTGTGCACCATGGAACGGCATTCTGCTTTTTGATGTGATTCAACGCATGACTTCGAAAACGCACATACCCGCTCAGCCATGTTCTATATCATATTTTCTGCCGACCGTACACGTCCATGCCCAGCCCCGAAGCTGCACAATGGGCAGCTCGTCCTGCTTCTTTTTCAGCTGCTTGTCAATGTAGTAGTAGTCTGCAATGGCCTGCATGTCTACCATCAACAGCAAGCAAAATCATCTGCCTCGGGTATCACAAGCCCCGCCTGTCTCGTGCTGCTGAACCAGCTGCAAACGTCCGGGCCAACATTTCAATATATCCCCCTCCCGAATAACGTATCGTCTCCTCCAACACTGGAACCCTCGCCTCGTCCACGTTGAAAGTGTACACAGCATCGTCACTGACAGCTGCGCGGATATCCTCGAGGTTGCTCAGCCTCGGGTGAGTCACAGCCTAGATGCATCATAGGGACCGAGGACATCCCTAGATGTCCTTTGCAGCGTCCGCAGGCAGAGGCACTTCGGGCACCCTGACATCAATCCTCGTGGCTACACACACAGGCACATTCTTTATGCGTGGTTCTGTCGTCGCAGACAATATTGCAAAGCTCTCGAAAAGCCTTCCTAGCAAAAGGGACAGACTTAGAACGCCAGGCTGCTCAGTCTCCAAGTCCTGCTTCTTGCTCTGGAGCTCCAAGGCACCTCGGGAGATCTACGAAAGGCTCGCTGACTCAGACAGCGAGGGCAGGCCAGAACCGGCGCTGCTTTGACGGAGGCCTTCAACAAACTACTTGGCTGCTGCAGTATTGAGGTTGAAGGTCGAGATGCCTTTGTCCTTCTGAAACTGGTGGAAGCTCCGCTGGATCATGTAGTCCTTAGCAGGGGAGCACAGAGAGAGGCGAGTCAGGCACAATCCGTGCCAAGTCAACCCATAAAGTGAATCAGCGAAGCCAAGTCCCAGCCTAACCCTGGTCTCGCTGGACATAGCAAGCTCAACCCAATCCTGCCCGATAACAGCAATGCTTTTCACCCCACCGGATCACGCATCCCCTGCAAGGGAAAGTTCCCTCACCCGAGCTGTGATCAGCCAACTGGGTCTTGAGCAGCGCTCAGTCTCGCCATCACATTGATATCATGTTCATCACCGGCAGCATTCGATGCAGCAAGTGATTCCTCCTTTGCCGCCGTCATCGCCGTCGTCAAGTGTCGAAAACAGCATGGCCAAGTTGTTGAGCTTGAATGTTACCGTGCCCACCATCATTACCATTAGAGTAGAATGTGCACCACCAGCAGCATCATCATCATCATGATGCTCGTCATCATCTTGAGTCACTTCTTCACCATCCGTCTCAAGGTATCTACCAACACGAACAGGCGAAGGAATGACATCGAGAACACGACAAGAAGCACCGTCATACTGTGACCATGAAACGAAGTCGTGGTGCGTGGTCAATGTTCAAACAAGGCGAGTTCGGCACAAGCTTGACCATTATTTGCGATGGTATTCTTATTATTGCGACAGTTACGGCTCTTGCCACGACTATGAAACTATGATCATTAAAGTATTGGTTTTGGTACTGCTAGATGCTTGCTGCTACCGAGATGCTGGGTCTGCGCCCTCGAGGCGGAGAAGGTTGATGAGCCTCAGGAGGAGAGTTCCAGGAGCGTCCTTGCTACGCTGTAGTCTGGGTTTATGCGGGTTTAGGGATCCTTAATTCTGCGGACTCCTGGAGCACAATGAAATTTGAGAGGTTGCAAATCAACACGTCTTGCGGCAACCCTCTTGCAAAAGCTACCTGCTACCGACGTGACAAGGCCTCCAGCCAGCAACATGGCAACTGTATCTCTCTGTCCGCTTCCATAGCTACTATGCTATGCCAGGCTACCGGAAGGCCAAAAACAAGGGCTGCTGTATTAGACCTAAGTGGAAGGCCATTACCAAGCTACACCCTAGAGACCCCAATTCAGCAAAGCCTGGCGACATGTTGTAGCCTAGGTGGAAGGCGCTGAAGATCTTCGAGGACTGGCCCAAGAACATCTCCTGCGAAGGACATGACAACAAGCAGTAATATCAAGCATATGAATCATAAGCATCATAACAGCTGTACTGGTCAGACAAGCAGCTGCGTAGAACAATGCTATTTTCAAGAATAACAACAATAATGCCGGTTAGCACTTGTAGTAACCGCAATAAACACTGATAGTAACCATGCTGCTACCTGAGCAACATAGCAAGATCATTGGCCATTGTAGGTATAGCAAAAGCACTAGTAGGGGTTATAACCAACGTAAAACAGCAAGAACAACAGTTGTAGAAGTACTCACGATAATAAGAGTCGAAGTGTCTTGCGGAACCCCGTGTCTTCACTGATGCCAGAAGGCTTTCAAGCTCAAAGCATCAACTTCTCCTTCGCCACTTCAGGTTCCACCTTCTCGTCAAACATGATGATGGTCAAACCACGGTCATCCTTGCGGCCAGCATCAACATGATGCCCCCTGCACCCTCCCGCCTCCCAGTGCTTCCTTGGTTCGTTGACATAGCAAGTTCAAATCTCCACGAAACGGTTGCTTGCGAAGACTAGATGATCAAACCCGAAACACCCCACGTCACAACGATCCCGAAACTGTAAGATCCTAACCCGGGAGCTGTACATAACTTGCGACGATCTTTTAAGCCGGAGTGAATCGAGAGCAGAGCTCTTCTCGAAACGCCCCACACCCCTAAACTTCGAAAGCCTAGGACCTTAAAGCCAAAATTCGCAACATCCTCAAGCCAAACTCTAAAACCTCACACCCCAGATCCTCTAAATCCCTCAAGCCAAGCCGGACCTTCCCTCGCCGACCTGCACGCCCGCTCCTTGGGCAAAGATCTATTGTTCAGGGTTGAGGATTTCCAGTTGGTGGTGTAAGGTCGAGGTTGTTTAGGGATTCTGGGGTTTAGGACTCAGGGGATACTTTCGGACGTATTCAGAGAGGGTCTTCGGCCTTGCAACTCGGGGTTCATCTTCAAGAACAGTGTCAGACCTAAGACAGCTAGGAGTGCGGGATAGGCGGAGCCAAAAGCCAAATGCATCAAAGCTCATCTGGATGTATTCACCCGCATGCAGGATCCGATACTCGAGGCCGTCCCACTTGCCTTGGCAAGGCAACGATCTCTTACAAGCATCGGTCCCTCTCATTGGCTCCTCTACCACCATCCCAGAAGGAGCAGATCTGCGCGACAGCCTTTAGGGTAAACCGTACTTGTAGGATTGCACAACTCAACCCTGAACTCCAACTTAGCAATATTTTGTATCGTTGCGGGTCTGGGAATCGTTGTCATGCATCAGGGCCGGTGCATGGTTGCTTGCTCTGCACACCTTTCATAGAAGCTCCCGTGCCATACTGACTTTAACGGGAAACTAGCATCTTTTAACTTGTCAGCGTGCGCAATATGGCGTGTAGGATGCAGCCGCAAGCATCATCTGTGCTTCTTGTCTCAGGACATGCCTTCGGATGCTGCGCTACGCAAAGTACAGGCAGTGTGAGTTGAACGGTACTTGAGAAAGTGCCCGTGTAGGAGTGCGTCACAGCTCCACGGTTTGTCCAGAGACGCGTGTCTTCTCGTGATGCATTCAGTCGTTGAGCAATCATGGAGCAGGCAACCTGCGTTTGGAGTCGACGCTGTCCCCTGTGCCCAAAATCGGATGAAAGCTAACATCTCAAGTGCGAACCCACCGAGCAGAATCATGAACTGATTCGTAAGGCCAGCGAAAGCGCGGACAAGCTTGACGTGGCACTGCCATCTATCGCAGTGCACTGAAACTCTTGCCATGACAATGTCCACACTGGTCTGCTTTCAGATCCCGTCTTGCCACTCTGCATAGCACTCTCCTCCAATACGGTATGCCCAAAAAGCGATCTGCACCGTGACGTGGTCACAGCCATCTGACAGGCAAGACATTCATCATCATCTCAAAGAACCTGGGCTGAATGTGCCACAGCTTCTGGAAACACCCAGGGGCTGTACTTCGGGGCCACAGCCCTGCAGCTGGCAGATTGCGGTGATAGTGAGGACGAAGAAGACGCAAGCAACCTTTACGTTACCAGCCCGTGCGCCAACACGCCACACGGCAAACCGGATTTTGCGCATCATGTGCACAGCCTGCGAAGAAGAGCCGCACATGCCGAGAAGGACCAGAAGGACGCCACATGAAATAATGGAAGCTCCAATCATGATCCTCTGCCAATCCAACTCATTCCTCTGCCAATCCAACTTTAGGTGGGGCTTTGAAAGCCTTTGAAAAATATTAGTCCTCTTAAGCCCAATAAGGGAACATGTAAAATGTCCCAAAGACCTACCTAGAGCTCGTTTGTGCTGTGAGACGAGGCGGTGATCCGCTGCCAATCCAACTCATCTGCGCTGTGAGACGAGGCGGCGACACCGGGGATCTTATAGGGTTGGTAATGGTAGTACTTTGGCACGCTGTCCAGGCGCACATGTAGCCATGGAACTCCGAGGCCTGCTGTGCTGAGGAACACAGGTGCTGACGACTTGGACATGTGGAGGTCCAGCTGTGTCCCGACTTCTTGGAACAAGACTTCGACCTGATCCAAGGGTGCTTTGCGAACAAAACTGGCCAAGCTTACGTAGACCTGTGAGCGGACATCCGGCAGTGCTCTTGGTGCAATCAGCGTGGCATCGCCTCCCAAGTTGGAGAAGGCCGCCACCTGACCATCATTTTCTTGAAACTTTTTCTGAAAGGCAGCCGGATTGGCTGTCATTCCTTCAAAGCTGCTGCTCGCATCAATGACGGCAAATCGCACCGAGTCCCCCTGCTGGCTTTTAGAGAAGGGCTTGAATTCCAAGCGGTACGATTCATACGGCTGGTTCTGGAGCACCTCGATCCAAAAGTCGAGGAACTCCTTTGCGTGCAGCTCCTCAATGAACTCTCTCCAAATCATGTCTCTGCCTGAAGACTGGATTCCGTTCTCTGCGCCGAACCTGATGAGCTTGTATCTTGGCACTTGCCGCTCTTTGGTGTGGGACGGCGACGGCTGCCACAGTGGCTGTGCGCCATCCGAGGCACGTGTAGGGTGCATCACCAGGGGTGCAAGACACAGCATGATGGTGCAAGCCCATGTTGGCGGATTCATGGCTTGCGATGCTTGCACGACGAAGGATCTCGAGCTCTAACGCCCAACGACGTGCTTTTCACGAGTCGCTTGAAACTTTGCATGTGCTGAATTGAGCTCTTTGCACAGAGACATGCGTGGACGGGTTCTGGTTTGCTCGATTGGTCCAGAGAACAAAAGGATTTTCATGATGGCTCTACCTGGTATCAAGCAAGAAAACTAACACTGCCGCTGAACAGAGGCTAAAACGGAACCGAACGATCCTCAAAGGGCAAGGGCTCCAACAGAGCAGCCTTGCGCCCAAAAATGGGACTACAACAGAGAGCCTCAAATGATCGTACCTTGGGCATTCGCGCTGAACGACGACACAAAAGCCTAGCACAGGCCTCGGCCTGAGCATTGCAGCCCTGCATTGGGCATGCGAGGACTGAACACACCTCCTCTGGTGCACCCCGACATGCAGCTTTCTGATATGTCCGAGGCACGTGTGTTCGTAAAGACCACTGTTTTGGCAGGCATGTTGATTCCCATGGCAAAGGTCTCCGTGGAGAAGAGGACTTTGATGAGAGACTCCTGGAAATCTGGGTTGTTTATTTGTCAGTTCGTGCTGCCGGGACCTGATGACAGCTGTGTTCTCGAGCTTAAGGCTTAAGAGTCTTCCGGTGTCCAGGGGATGCTGGAGTGTTGGGCAGCCAGCCGAAACCAAGGAATACACTTGTACTGTACTGGTTGTTGTGCCACACCCATCAGCTTTTCCCAGCCCGCGCCTGGAACAGAATCTCCACCACCTCTTTCAACCTGCCATTGAGAAGGTCGCTGCTTTCCATGCCCACAGCTAAATATCCAGAGAGCCTGACTGGAAGAACCTCGAACCTCCAGCCGTGGAAAAAACGTTTCTCGTAGCTTGCCAGTGGCGACTCAAACTGGCTATGCGCTAATCTATGGGCTCGCTGCACGAGACAGCCGCAAAACTCCCAAGAGACCTCCAGCTACCTCGCGATGTCAGCCGAGATGCATTGGGAGCAGGCCGCCGTGGTGGATTCCCAGCCCTCTTCGCAGCAAGGGCAGCATACTCTGCACCTTGAGGGATGCGTCCCAAAGGATGCTCAGACTCGAAGCTCCATCAACGTTAAGACTCTCCAGTGAAACGGAATTTCAACGTTTTCTGGGACCCGGTGGAACATCTCAGCCACCCGCCTGAGGAAGCTCCCTGTCCTCGTCACCCAGGGTCATGATTGCATTGTTGAACACCTGAGAGGCTTCGGCGCTAAAAGAAGGATTCTTACCAAAGGTCTTGGGGTCTAGCCTGCATTCCGACAAGTTGTGGGCTTTGTCGCAAAAGGCGCTACGGACACCAGGAATACGGCTAAGACCGAGGAATGACAAAGGTTGCAACCGAACAACGGAGCCACCCCTAATGCCCCAATCACCATCCTGAAGATGCAGAAAAGGCCTCCGGGTTCTAGATAAAATCACATTACGTGGCAAGCCTCCAAATCGTGCCCTACTTGCTACGGCCTCGTCGATGAGCTTCTTCTCGTCGTCATCAGTGACGTCCATCCGTTTCAATGCTACAGCATTGGCCTCACACTCCTTCCGGCTGAAGGAGAACCTGGGAAATTGCTCTGAGTGTTTCGCCCGGTGGGTCCAGGCTGAAACGAATTCTGACAGAACCCTTTTCCTGGTGCAGCTACCGGTGTTTTGGGACTGTTCCATATGCAGGGGTTATAGGTTGACACTTTACTTGGAGGCTTTTGCATTCATACGGCGTCCAGCCACTGATTAGTGCCCTTGCTCCAGACGCGCCACTGCAGATTACAAAGCAAGGAGAACCTCGGTCGTGCGGCTCCAACTCTACGGCACGACCCTTTGGATCCTTGGATTTGGGGCCGGCGACTTCGCTTGTGTCTGTCTACGCACGGAATGACTTCTACAAATCACACGCTCCCCACAGTACGGCTACATCGGTGTGTGAGCTTTGGTATACAGGGACGTTGTCCCAACAAGTCCGAAACTGCAGAGATCGGAACCCCGGCTTCACGAGGTACAATCTGATCAACCTGTTGATAGAGCCCTTGCGGATTCAAGCCCAGTGGCACAATCAGGGGTAGGTACCCCCGATCGCTGCACATCCGCACGATCCTAAGGGTGATTCTGGAAGCGCCGAGCTCGGGAGGCTTGCAGATGCTACTGCCGCTCCTGCTCGCAGTCCTTATTCTAGTGATTCTAGTGCTCACGATGCTCCAGAAACCACTCCGACGGACGACGACTTCGACGACGACGAGCACTGCTGTTGTATCCATTGACAACTCGCGTGTCTTCGTTCTGTATATTGACGCTCGAGCTCCTGCAGAACCACTAAATGACTGTTCAGACCCCCTTTCTTAATCTTAAAACCAAGAGAGATGTCGAGTTTGAGACCAGGACAAGAGGACCAGGACAAGAGGGTCGCTGACAGGATTCCTTCAAAGGGGGCTACAAGGTCCGGCAAGAATTGAGGGGCCTGTTGGAACCGAGTTCGGGTGTAGATTGCATTATTCATGCAATTGGGGGGTGGGGCTACTTTACAAAGGAGTGTGATTAACACTGTTCAACACCTGTTTTTCAAACCCTGAAGACCCAACCGACAAACTCCCTCCCATAGGGAAGGCTATGGGGTTCTTTTCCCTAGGCCTTTCGAGGCGACAGTGCCTTTCGGCTTTGGGCTTCGGTTTAGCCCAGCGGCTTCTCGAGGTCTCCGAGGTTCGACTTGCCCCGCTTCGCCAACTTCCTTGGGATGTCAGAGATACGGTCGGCAGTGCAAGAGCCAGCAAGAGAAAGCCTGGCATAAAAATTAAGAATAATAACAGCAGTGACTGCAGCAGCAACGGTAGGTATGGTGACACCAACAAAAGCTACATGTTTTCATCTGGTACGTGCTGTTTTCGTAGTGGTGGTAGTGATAGTGGCGTGTCGGCGTCTGTGTTTGACTTTCCGGGGCTGGATTTCAAGGCGACTGACTGGATGAAAATGTCTCGAGTGCTTGCTCGATTCTAACGACCCTGCTTTGTGATGCTAGCACGTCTGTGAAAAAGTCCCGTGTGCGTGCGAATCAAGAAACGGAAAGGGTTGAGAAGCACCTCAGCTTACACCCTCGACCCTCAAAGCAGCCTTGCGACTTCTTGGTCTCCACATTTTGAGCATCCGCAGCTTGCTGGAGGGCCCCGACGGCCTTGTGAAAGTTGTCCTCCCGGAACTGGCCCTTCCTGAGAGGTCCCGCATTTAAGGGCTGTTCTTCAATTCCACAGGATTGCCGATTTGAGACGCTTGGGTGGGCAAGAGCTATGGAACCCCTGAACGCGCCGTGACGTTCGGTTCTTTTTGCAGTTTCCTCCTTACTTTCCCGAACCCTCCATAAACTTTAAACTTTAAACCTTTGGAATGATTCTCAGCAGGACCTTGGGTTGAGGGGGTTCAGGGTTCAAGGTTGATTGTAAGCTGTTCCACAAAGAAGACCCAAGCTTCTCATCCACCACCATGTAGACCCCGTCTCCGCCGGAGGGGAAGAGGTAGTGCTGCAGTGGCACCGGCCGTTTGTCTGTGTAAATCACATGGCATGGCTGGTGCTTGATTCGACAGATCCACTCTGCAAACTCCCGGGCGTTAGGGATGGTTGCAGAGAGAAAGACCAAGCGAACAGAGTCCGGAAGCAAAATCATAGCTTCTTCCCACACAACTCCTCTATCTCGGTCTCGCATGTAATGCACCTCGTCGAAGACAACCCAAGCCATTTCTCGAGAGACATCGGAGCCCCGATACAGCATTGACCTGAGGATCTCTGTAGTCATGATCATGCATGAAGCATGAGGATTGATTGTCACATCTCCAGTCATGAGACCAACATCCTTGAACTCATCTTGCAAATCTCTGTACTTCTGATTGCTCAAAGCTTTGATGGGTGAGGTGTAGATAATTCTCTGCTTGTCCCGCAGCGCCATTGCGATGGCATATTCCGCAACGACTGTCTTGCCAGCAGACGTGTGGGCGGCGACCATGACAGACTCCTTATTCTCGAGGCAGTTCACTGCCTCCTGTTGGAAGACATCCAGTTTAAACGGATATGTCTTGGCCGGTGTGACGGGCGGTGGCGCTTTGCCCTGTCCGGCGAGCTCCGCCGGCCTGACGCATTCGTGCACACAGTTGGCGCCCTCCATTTGGACATCGTAGGTTTCGAGCACGGTCTCAGTCGTCAGCTGCATCGTCTGTGTGTGCTCGGCCTCTGCCACCGCAGGCATGGACACATCTCCCTCGGTCTTTGTAGGACCCTCTCGCCGACGCTTCTCGGCCGCGTTTGCCCGATTCGCAGGCTGTCGCTTCGACATCTCGGCAGACCCTCAACTCCAACTGCTTCTACCGATCTTGCCTGCTTGTAGTCTTGTGCTGTGATGCTCATGCTCGAACGGAGGGGGCTTGAGAGACGTATACTGTTACTAAGTTACTAGTGTGGTGCTCACTGGATGTAGGGGTCTGTTGGGCTAGGGGAGTCTGGAGCATCGGCAAGCATCTTGCTTTCTAACCTGCTCGTGCCGTGAACCTTTAAAGCAGCTGAGCAGAACAACAGCACATCCAACTCCAGCCCATCTAGTGCCAGTGTCATAAGAAGCGTATTGATCTTTCCCTTGCACAAGTAACAAGCACGAAGTTTCTACGTCCCAATCTCATAACTCTCATTACCGTCTCTAGATGGACTCACCATAGATTAGATCTTTGCAAAGAACATCTAAACTAGGCCTGCCCAGGTCTAGGTGTGCACTGGCTCCTAGGCCACGACGGCCAGCGCCACCACGTCACTGGTACTGGCTCTTCGGAATCTTTTGCATGCTAGAATGTACCATACTTTTCTATACACTATACTATACTAACTATACTATACCACCTGTACTATACTGTACTATACTATACTTTACTAAGACGTACTGTAATATACTATCATGTACTGTTATACACCTCCCTCATGCAAGGAGACTACAGCACGGCGCTCCGAGCCTGAGCGCCATCGAGGCGCTGGATGCGCGTCTTCGATGCTTTGACACCTGAGACTCTCGGGCTCGGGCTTAGGATTTATGGGGGTTCAGGGTTTATGGGGTTTAGGGTGAAGGGTTTGGGAGTTCAGGTGATTTAGGGTCCAGGCTTGAGGGTTTATGAGGTGTAAGGTTGTGGGATTTAGGGCCCAGACCTTCCAGTATCCCTCAAGCAAAAACCATACCTTAACATATGGTACGACCCCCTATATCTTTTGAAGTACATTCCTGGGTTCAGGGATACCGCAAGGTCTAGAGATTTAAGGCTTCCAAAAGAGGCCCGAAGCCCGAACGTGCCCGCGACAAGGCCGCTATCGATGTGGGAGCAAAGCTGCTAGCTTGGTGGGACAAAGCTTCCGGATAGCGGCTGAAGGATTTGGCAAGACTGCGGCCGCTGGCACGACTGCAGCTGCATCTTCTGTTGGTGGCGCTGTTTTTAGTACCCTTACCAAAACAGTACGCTCTTTTAGGACCCTTTAGAGTACCCATAGGCTCCATTGTGGTTCCTTTTTGGGACTACCTTACAGGATCCTAAACTATGGAGCCTATAGTTACTTAGAGGATCATGGGACTTATTAAGTAAGGTTATAGTACCCTAATTGGGGTTATAAATAGTTATAACTATAGGTACCCTACTTACAACCCTAGTTACTAAGTCCCATGATTCTCCAAGTATTGTGAACCCCTAAACCCTAAACCCTTAAACCCCTAAACCCCTAAACATCTAAACACTTAACAAGCCCCCTGTCCCCAAGGCCTCCACGTCGCTGCCTTCGGCCCAGCTTCCCGGCCGCTAGGAGCGCGGCAGAGGCCACGGCGGCCTGTTAGCCCGGGCTGGTGCTTTGGGGCTGTGGGGGTTTAAGGGTTGGGCTTCAGGGATTAGGGTCTAGGAATTTAGGAGTTTAAGGTTAAGGCTTTGGGCTTTCGGGGTTTTGTTGCGGCTTAGGGTTTTGGGGTGACGGGTTTAGGGTTGAGGGGTGCTGTTTTCATTAGGGCTTTTGGGTTCAGGAGTTTCAATGCTAGTGCTTAGAAATTTCCTCGAATCCAGTGTCTAAGGTGTTCTTCTATATCTGTGAATCTGTCTTCGGGTTTCACGGTCGTGGTGGGGCTCGGAGTTGTTGACATTTGGAAGTTGGGAGCATCGAGCATGCAGATTCCAAGATTCAAGATTTGGAGTTGACGGCAGTTCCAAGAAAACAAACAGAACAACAGGCAAGACAGGCAAGTATAGCTGCATCATGACCATCGGCGTGCGAATGCTTGTGGCACGGCCCAACGCATGTGTGTGTGTGTGTGTGTACGTTTGCTGTTCTGTCTGCGCCTGTATGCATAAACAACTACATCCAGCAACATAGACATGTGGAACTATAAGTTATTACCCAGTATCATGTACATACGAACAGCTGTGCATAGCATGCATGTATGTGTACTTCCACCCATACATACATTAGATTCACACATACAACCACATGCATGCATGCAGATATATGGCACCTACTTCGCGTCTGTGCTTATGCTACGATACTTTGCCGCTGAAGCGAATGTGGCAGGAAGTAGCAAACTCTATTCTGTCTGATGTCCGAGGTCGATGTCGTGATGGGAAACTATTTGGCCGAGAACTCATCACAGAACATACAGTATCACGAGGAGCTTTCTCCGCAGCTGATTCACGGTCGAGACTGGGCGGAGCTTCAGCAATGGCGGGCATCTAACCAACCCGATTCACAGTGCAGAAGTTGCACAAACACTCTCAGGGTCTTACAGTAGCAGATTTGTACGTAACCCTTCGATCAGTCGATGCACTGCCGCCGGCGTCAGAGAATACAATTTTCCCCATATCCTCAAGGCATCCGGAACAATGCACAATCCCGGTCCCTGCCCGATTGGCATTCGAGGAGGATAGCCGCGCAGTGTGAGGCTCCGTCCTGCAAAGCCAATTTTCGGCTGTCATGGTTAAGATTTCAGAAAGGTCCAGCACACTTGTAGTCAGTGAGGCAATTAACACAGTACAATAATTCAATATCGGACGCAGTGCAGCCGGACAAGTGGTGCCACAAAGCCTACCCTTGAGCTTTGGAAAACCACCCGCAGCACCTGCTCTTGGGCTTCGGCATCTTAGCTGGTTTTTGGGGGTTCTCGCAGCTCAGGCTTGCAAGCTGGGAAGCTTCGCTCGCCCTTCGATATGCATTCAGAGCCAGGTGTGGGATCTGGATACCTGGACTTGTACTCGATGTCTGCAAGCTACAGCTAGGGCCTTAGCACATGCAAGAACATGCAAGAAGACCGGAACCACGACCGACCCCAACCCGGAGACAAAGCAAGAGGTAAACACAGTACGCGCAACCGTCAACCAAACTGGGAGCAGCAACAAAAACCCATAAGAGTACGAGCACAGCGAAAACAAGCAAGACCCGTCCGAGCGTTGGCCGTCCGTAGTCGTCGTCATCATCAACATCAGCATCAGCATCACCGTCAGTACAGTACCATCATCATTATCATCTCGTCCACCCACTCCTCCCCCTCCTCAGCATCATCACCATCATGGTTATCACCGACGGGATGATGGTGGCACCAGTGGATCTTGCGAGGAGTATGCTGCATTCTGGAGAGGTGCTGTTTGGAATGATGGGACATCAACTCCCGTCACCAGAATCGTCTTGATCGTCACGCTCATCATCGACGTGGTCGACGTCTTCAACAACATTATCATGGTCACGTCAGCCAAACTCGTCGCCATCGTCGGCGAGCTGCTCACGGCCTTCTCCCTCTTCTGCTCCTCATCACACCATTGCCATCTCTAGCATCATCAACAACATCAGCAGCCCTTTCACCCTTCATTGCCACCGTCACCACGCTATCCATCACCATCCTCGTGCATATTCGCACGCGCATTGTCATGATCCAGGACACAAATAGTCGCTATCACCGTCCGGTGCTGGTCAATCGTTATCTTCAAGCAACCCCCGCCTGGATCGGTGTAGAACTGGTGCGGCTGGGGCCTGCTGTCAGGTGCGTGTTTCAACACTGGGGGCACACTATATAAGACTACTGGTTTTGCTATTGCTACTGAAACGCGAGTCTCAAAGAACAAGGTACCCCGACATGAACCCTAAACAGGAGGATCCTTGTCAAAAAGCTCACCGAGCCTGTCTAACTGCCCGATGGATGTGTAAGGACTAGCAGCACCTTCGCTTGGGGCTCTTGCATCCAAGCCCCCAGTCTGTATCGAAGATCACGAGGATTAGTAGAGCCTAGTATTTTTGTATTCTAATGTCAGTATAGTACATTGGCTTAGTATCGCATTGTAGACTATGGTACATTACAGTACAGATTTCTAGTATCGTAGAATACTTTGTCTACTGCTCCCGTCTCTAGAGCAAACCCTCTGAGCTCCCAGCAGAGGCCCTCGGGTTGGATGGCTGCATGGTGAGCGCCATGGCAGCGAAAGGGACAGAATCCCAAGGAACTACCCTGTGTGAAAGACGATCGGAGAGATGCATGTGATGGCTTCTTCCGGGCATGACAGCCAAGCGATTGCGGCTGCCTTATCTTCTGATGATGCGATCTGTCGCTTGCATTTTGCCGATGTGCGGGCGCGCCCAATACTGAACATCCTGATTCAACTCAACGAACGGACATGCAAAGTGCACTGTGGTCAGCCAGTCAGGTGCTCTCAATACCAGTCAGCACTTGCTAGTCACTAGTCTGGCAACTGTTTGGGTTCCTGCCGTCCTGGAGGAGCTTGGGCTGAAGGGGAGAGATAGTCTGAACCCGAAGCCCCTGCGTACTCCTTTCGATTATGTTGATGCCAAGTACCGGACGCTTCAGATTCACGCAAATGACTCTACAGCGCTGCAAACCTGCCAAGCCGAAGTAAGAGCCAAGACCTAGGACTGAATTGCACATTCTCTTACGACAACTATTAGCTACTAGTTTTCCCACCCATACTAGCAGTGCTGCGTAAGACTAGTGTATACTATGGTACACCATGTACTATTATGTACTGCTATATATCATTATATACTCCACGACTACATACGAGTGTGTAGTATGTAGTAACTACCTAATATTATCAGCCTTAAGGCTGCCTTTCTCGCTCGGTGAGCCAGGGTGGGTCTGCGCAGGCATAGGTCACTGCATCCGTTGCGCCGTCTGCGCCGTCCCAAAGGCCTTGAAGGCCTGAAGAGTAGCTGTAGCAGCCAAGGCCAAGGAGATGCGTTTAGGATTCTACAATACAGCAACAGGGAGGGACCACAAGTCTCGGCTTGAGGCTCATCCGCGGTACAACCTCGTCTAAGTAAGCCGGGATGCACGGTTCGGCGAATGCTGGAGAACACATGGAAAGTGGAGCCGTGCGATGACACTATACAGGTCGGACTGTCGGCAAGTTTACGGAACACTTCTTGAAATGATTTTTGCACGGGCGCAAGGTGCACACTCCGGCAACTCTCTCCGTGGATTGTAACGAAGCTTCAAGGACTTCCACTGCATGTTTAGTTCATCATGTCCGAATATCCCAATCCCAAGCATCGCCAGCAGTCATTTTCGTTCACGAGCCGCACGCTCATGAATTCTCAATTGCCTGTTTCCAGGAGGGTGACGGAGGAGTACTTGGGCATCTTCACACCCTTGGACATCATGACCTGCTTGGCATCATTATACTCCTTGTCCGTGACACCGGTGAGGCTGCGCTTGACACCACCGAGGAAATAGTGCTCCTCCACAAAGGCGGTCATGTCGTGGCTTAGGACATCCGAGCGCGCCAGGCAGGGGATGAGATCAAACTCGGCACCCTCAATGTCCACCTTCAGCAACACTTTGTCTCCCGGGATCGTCTTGGACTTGATGAGGGAAATAACGTTGATCAGATGTACTTGTACATCATTCGCATTGCCTTGTGGAGCGAGGGACGATGCAGCCTCGCAAGCAAGATAATGCAAACAACGGATCATATCTGGCTGACCTTGCGATGAGCTCGCACACAAACGACACAGCCCGTGTCATTCCCATATACCATGACGACTAGCCTTCTTGTTCACCCCCCCGAACAACCCATGCGCTTATTTCAGCGTGCAGGTTCGTGGCATGTGAGCAGGCTAGTAGTACTGTACACCACCGAACCAAAAGTTCGATCGAGGCAATGAGACAGATCCTGCAGCACTACTCCTCCTCCTCCTCCTGCTGCTACTACTAGTTCTACTGCTACTACTCATCCTCCTGCTGCCACTGCTACCGCCACTGCCACTCTACGACGACGATGAGAACCAAAAACCAAAGCTGTTAAAACTTACAAGTGTTGTTACCATCTGTGCTGCTTATTATCATTGCCGGCCACGAACAGCAAATCCAATTGCACGCCTGACGAGCCAACTACCTGACTCCGAGATCTCCCAACACTTCCATGCCGACTCCCCGAAGTCGCTCAACTCCACCCTAGTTACCCTAGTTCCCAAACCGTAAACGTATAGTATTGTATTTAGACAGTATACTAGAGGATACTGCAGTACATCATAGTGTAAGAAGGCCAAGGTGCTGATGCTTTGCCTACGACGTGGAAGGTGGTGTCAGCCTCGCACATCCAAGCGCCATTCATCATGGGGAAAATCTCCTTCCAAGGGACCCACGAATGCTGACAGCACTATTCTCGGGGCCTCCAAGAGTTGCGAGTTTATGATTCTGGCGATGACGGGGTTGGGGGTTTAGGGGTTAAAGTTAAAGCGAGTTTGCGGCAAACGTGGGTTCCAGCTTGGATCTCCGCGGCTCCTTGCCCGGTGCGGACTTCGCAGCCTTGTTGTTCAGCTCCTTTTGGAAGAAGGGGTTTGCCTCCACCAGGTACGCCTCGTACTCCTGATTCGGGCAGTCTTTAATCTGCCCATACTTGCCTTGAAGGAAAGCGTTGTAGCTGTTGCCATCCGCAGCCCCGAGGTCGATGAAGATGCACTTCGGCTTCGTGCGACTGGGCCTGGCTATCGCAGAAGTGTCCGCTTGACACTGGCACGGCGAACTTCGCAGCCGCTCACGAAGGGATTTAGCTGCCTGGGCCGAAGAGGCTAGAAACAAGGCAGCCACCAGGGAGCGAAGCATCGGTGAAAAGCCTCAGAGGCTCTACATTTTTCTGCAGAGCCGAAACGAACGAAACGGCTTCCAGCACTGCAAATTCTACACAGCTCTCGCTTTCATCGTGCTTTCCCTTCACAACCTCGAAAGCTTCCAAAGTTCCCGAGCCTTCAGCAGACTCCACGGGCTGAGGTCTCGGAAGGATGTCCGCCAGAGCCTCGCCGAAGCTCAGAGTTCTTTGGAGTCTTGGAGCCTTTGCTTAAAAGTCTCTTAGAGCTCCTACGAACCCTTGAGATTCACAAGGGCACACGAACGAGAGCAAGCTTGTCCAGCGCTACGATGGGTCCCCAAGACGGAGCAAGGCCCAGATGGATCGATAGCAGCACGGTTCCAGCCTCGTTTGACATACATACATGTCTGCGGCTTGTCTGCCGAGTCTAGCCCCAAGGGATGCAAGCAGCCTGTTCTAGCAGGGTGCAACAGGAGGTGCGATGTTGTCACTGTGCGATTGGATGGTACATATTGGTGACATTTATCTAAAGTCTAAAGCCTCCGCAGCACATGCTTCCACGAAGCCCGGAGCGAACCGGTTCCCCTTCCCAAACGCTTCGAAAGCCTTTCCGGCGTCCAGGCTCTGGTCCAGCTTCACGGAGTACACAGAGGCGTGGAGTTGCATCACATCCTGCTGCGGGGCGTTCCTAGCAGTCCCCACACAGGCCCGAGGCCCAGGCGAGTGTCAGCTTGCTTTATGTGCGGTTTTACACAGCAGCAGCATTGGGAAGCTGTCTGCGACTTGTCCCCAAACACTGATAAGAACTTGTGCGGCTTATTGCGCAAGCCAAAGCTGAGCAAACGCCCAACAGTCACTCACCGAGACTTTGCTCGTAGCGAGCAGAGCTGCAGAGCAGGGCGCTGCCACTCTTCGGCTGTCCTCATTCTCCGCGGTGCCATAGACCGGGTCACCCAGAATGGGAAAGCCTGGACCGACAGCGGTGAATCGGCAGAAACAAAGAGAACTCCACCTCACACACACCAGCACATCTGCTTCCTGTGAGGCCCCAACCCATGGCCGAAAGATGGACGCGGATCTGGTGAGTCCGCCTTGCTGTGACTCCGGCAGACGTATTCGTCGGGTTGCTTGGCATGCAGAGTGCTGGCCCTGTAGAATCTGCGTTCCCCACATCCGTACATGGCCGGGCGCATGCTTTTACAGACATCCGTGCACAAGTATGTGAGGACGGCCCTTCCCAAAGATTCAGCCCCGTGCATCGTAGCTAATCGGTTCTCTGACTATCAAGGTTCATTTGGATGACTCTCCTCACCTTGTCCGCTCAACACTTCCGTCCAAGGAGCATTAGGATCCGGAACTCCCTCTCGCAAAATTAGCAAGACCCGAGGATAACTGAAGACAGCCACTTCGGCCCTCGGAACCAGCAAGCAGCAAAAGCCCAAGAGTTCCTCGCAAAGGCCCCAGCCCTGTCTCCAGGCGGCAGAGAAGGCTGTCGCCTCGCTGCCGTATCATCGTCTCGGCACTTTTGCCGGCTCCTCAGTCTCACAAAAGTCTTTCTGAGATCTCAGCGACTTTGTCAAGGCCATGGCTGGGATCGCGTCTGTATTGTGAGCTTGAGATTGAGATTTAAGCCAACAAAGCACGGCCCGGCCTGTGGTGTCCACCACCACGGTGAGTGGCTGGTTGGGTCGGTGTTTCTCCACCCGCAACGGCAAGCGGCAAACTACCTGCCAGGCATTGCTCACACACACACACACACACACACGGAGGACGAAGCGCCCCGATTCCAGATCAAAGCAGCATATGCCCATGAAGCATGAAGTTGTTTCTCGTGACATGGATTTCAAGCCACGAGCGCCGCCTCTTCGTCGCCCTTCGCGGTAGTTCGGCGCTCTACCCACTGCCTTTGGCTGAAGGACTATGATCTGTTTGGCATAGATTTGGGCTAGAGAGCTGCAAAAGCTAGCTCTCACTCTGCGATCCAAACCACTTCGTCCTGCAACCCTTGCTAAAAGTGCCAACGTCACACCGATCTCGTTGTCTGGGGAAGATCCCAAATGAGTGTTCCGGATGAACTTGAACTTCTAGTCCCATGCCTGAACCCTAAACCCAAAACTACACCCAAAAAACCCATGACCTAGGTTTGGCAATGTCAGGCCCATGAAGCGATGACCGCTAAATTGCTCCTTTTGAGGAGCCCCTAAAGGGAACCCTGTGCCAATTCAATATTACACCCTCATAGCCTGTTGTCATTTCGCATTACGCCTACGACGAGGCTTGAAGCAGCAGGCTTTAGGACTGCAGGTCTCTGCTGGCTGACCGGGTCCCTCAGCCCTCAAAAAGCCCGGACTCCAGAACCAAAACCCACCAAAGCCTATGCCCAAAACCCTACTAATACTATTCCTTTGTGTTGTGGCAGGCCTCAGTGAACCTTGCTTCGCATTCATCCTGCAACTCCATCTGCTTGGGACCATGGAGGCTCCGGGCGAAAGGCTTCGCCGAACCCCTTCCCACACTGAAAGCGCTGTCAAAACCCGACAGCCTCTCGCAAAAGTATATATACATATCAGATGCACATACATACGTACATACATACATACATACATGCGTATATATGTATAGACGTGTATACATACATACACGTCATGTCAGAGCAGTTCCTGAGCAGGATTCAGCCGGCGTGGCTAAAAGTTCGGGATGCAAGCCTCATGAGCGGAACCGGTGGTGGACTCAAGTTAATTTTGACCTGCCGTGATGGAATCTGCATGCACAGGCGGAATTTTAATTAACAAGCGAGATTTGCTTAATCATACCCCAAATGAAATCGTGCCACACGAGGGTATGACCCGGATGCCAATGCCCAACAGCACATCGCCACGTTTCCATCTCATCTTCCTACCGCTGAGCCCATAACCCTGAACCTTCAGTAGACCCTACAAACCCAAAAACTAAAACCCCATGCACAAGCCTGAACCCCAAAATGGCACCAGAGCCTAAACCCAGCAGAAGCCACTTGAAGCCAAGATGCGGCCACCGCTCGATGGCCGCCGAGGCATCGAAACTGCCGCAGACGCCCGCGACATAAAGCTGGCGTTTCAAGGCTTCAGGGTGTTCTGGGTCAGCATGCTATACGTGTACTAAATACTTGACGAGACTGTACACAGTAGACATACTCTACACTCTAGACTCTGTACTCTCTACTAAACACCCAGTGTCGCATATTCAATACTAGATAATATATACTAGGAGGATATGGTCACTACTGTATAGTATATACTAGGTACTACTGTCCTGTATCATGTGACATTGTGACAAATTGTGATAAATTGTACCACTGTGGCGAGCCCTGGCAAACCATGACCCTAAAGCCCTGCTTGCATGGAATGCTCGGTCAGGGGCGCATATTTTCAGGTGCCGGGGGTCTTGGCTGGTGTGCTGTCGGACTTCTGTGGCCTGGAGCTCGAGGTTGTATATAATACCGCCTTAGGTCGCTATCCAGAAGACTCTGCAATGCGAGGGCGTAGCAGGTTCATTGTGACGCTGAGTCCGATCTTCAAGCTCTGCTCGAAGCTAGAAATCAAGATTCAGAAGCCGCCGAATAAACCACATTCCGCATCCTAAACTCCTCTGCAACTACAAGTAAGACCAGTCCAAAGGTCCCGAATCCCTTGCGTAACCGCCTTCCGCAAACCGGCACCATGCTCCTGAGCCAAGGCCTTGCATGTCTTAGAGGGCTGCAGACAAGTATGACACGGGGAAGCTCGTAAACTCATATACACATGCAGAATGTTTATCATATACACGACATAGATTGACATAGATGAAACTTACACTTGCTTGTAGAGTGATATGAGCACAATGGGGCCACTACTAGTATCTACTTTTCTAAGATGCACTTGAGCACCCAGCCCAGAGCTCCTGTGGCTTCAGCTTCGGGCTTCATCATGGCACTAGTAGTACTATACTACTATCAATAATTACTAATAGTAGCAATAATAATAATATAAAATAATACAAATGATCATGGCTTCTTCCAAAAAGAGCAGCCATGTCTGGGAGGGGACGGAGGGGACTTGCTGGTACTGGATGCTCAGGCCACGAGCTAAAGCTTTGCGACACCATATATGGGGGTTTCCGAAAATAGGGGACCCTAAGATAGTACCCTAAATAGTAGGATCCTGATTGTAAGGACACCAAAATTTGGTACCCCTAATTTACGGAAACTCCCATACGTGTGGACAGGTGCCGCCTGAAGGAGGACAGGCGGGCCAGCATGAAATACAAAAGGCAGCCGCGCTCTGTTTGCTGGGAGCAAGGCCATGTATGCCTTTCGAGTCTTTGCCAGAAGCACGATGCCTTTCGAGAGAGCAGCGAGATCTGCCAAGTGGGAACAACTCCCCTTGCCACTCGCGCCCGATCTTCAATTGCCGTTGTAGCAGCACAAGTCTGTCACACGAGCTACGACTTCAAACCACGACAGCTGCACAAAGGGATCACAAAAGCAGAAGGTAAGCGGCCCAGTTTGTGCCTGATGTCTGCCTGTCCAACCGGTTAACGGGGTGCAGGTAGCAAGTGGTGTCCTCCAGGACGACCCGACATGGCTTTGCTGAGCTGTCACATGTGTCTCCAAGGTCGCGGGGTTCAGGGTGGAAGAAGGATGTGCCGGCAATTTCAAGACTGTCGGGGCATGGGCGAAAGTCCAGCAACAAAAACAGGCATCCACGAGAAACAAGCGTCCTTCAAATGGGACACCCGCAAGATCTCTGTGAGGGAGCACTGCTGGTACTTCCCCTTCGGGATACAGACGTGTCGAACACGTGAACACAAGCTTGCAGCATGTGGCCCTTAGAGTTTGAACATGACTGTACCACTCTTTGCAGTACCGCCGGTTGTGCAGTCTTGGACCCCACCTCACCTGAGGGTGGCAAGGGATGCCCGCAGGCTTCCGCACCACCAGGGCCTTTCGTCACAAGGTAAATCAACCGGCCTGTGGTGAGGCAAGTTACAGGCTGCCCTTCTAAAGAGACTTATATGCCGTAGCTCCACTGATGTAGGGGCCAGAACAACCATTGCAGAAAACGCCCGGGCCCATGACTTAAAACATGGATAGCAGTCTGAATCCTGGCGTGGCTTTCTTCTTGGCAAGCTGCAGAGGCATTCTCTGCCAACACCTGCACGGCCTCTGCAGGGATTGGGGGCTCCTGGCAGCTGCATTGATGCTGCTGTCTGCTGCTGTACACTACTCCGACGAAGACGACGACTGCGACTGCGACTACGACTGCGGCGAAAACTATTCTGCTACTGCTCCTACTCGTGCGCATGCAAGTGCTCGTATTCCGTACTGCTGCTGTTGCTGGCACTGTGAATGCTGATGCTACAGCCGCCGCTGCTACTGCAGCTACTACGACCTCTACGACGAGACGACGAGGAAGACGACGTACTGGCGGCCGCGTGACCAAAGATCCGACTGTTAGCGCTTCGGGGCTTCCGGGGGCCGCAAGGAATAAAAGAAAAAGAGCTCAAGCAAACATCCAGGCTGATAACTTAGACCTTGCGGTCTTTGAACCTTGCAAGCTCAAGTCATGGGTTGACCAGACACTACGTAGGTAATGCAACTACATCTCCTACGTCTCAAGACAACTACTGTAGTGAAAGGTGATGATGGTTATTGCTGCCAGAACTGTGCACCAGAAGGCAGCTAGCACAGTAGCGGAAAGGAAATGCTCCTTAACTAATGTCTCCGACAGCTCCTTGTTCTCCTACGCTTTGCTTACAACATGTAAAGGTGCCTACTTTGACTTAAGACACGTGTAATGTGCAAATGCAGTACCCTACTACACCAAGCCTCCAAAGAAAGCTCCCGGGCCACAAAAGCGGATCAAACTCCCGAAAAAGCTCCAGCACACGAGACGCACTTTAAATGAATTCATCAGCAAGCCGGTACCAAAACACCTAGCTACAGAACCCCAGTGTCGATCGTATCATCCTATGGGACGATTGTGAGAATTCCGAAAAGCACTCTACGGTCTGGAAGCCACACTACGACAGTTGCAGGGTTCGGCATGTTAGGCAAAGCTGTTGAACAAAAAGGAGAACGTCGGGGAACCAGGCTTGTATAAACTAAAACGGACGTGGGAGGGTTTCGCAAGGATCCTGCCTTCATCATGTAGGTGTGGGTCACCACGTCGCCATTCTCCTAGACAGCAGGCAGGGCATGCTTCAGCTCCCGACTCCTGATCTGGGAGGGAAGCGTGAGGATAAGGACGTATGTACTAGAAAGTAGAATGACGGCACCGCCGAGTCGTTCTGATCATGGGGCCATGGGGCTAAATGGGACAGTGAACCAGATTAACTCTGTTACATGCAGATTGGGAATCATGAGACGATCACGACGAGCAGCTTGGTCAGCGAGCTGTCAGCAGCATCGGAAGTTATTGTGTCTGTTGTGTCCTCTCTCATTTATTTGGTGAGTATATTGGTGCAATGCTTGCACGCTGGGTGCGCGGCGAGGCTCATTTCGGTTTTTGCGGGGCGGCCTCCCACACAGAGGCGGCCCTCCGCCGCTGCCGTTGCAATCTCGGCGCTGGCGGTTTTAGATGTTATGTATGAATGTATGTGTATACACATATATATATATATATATATATATATATATATTAAGATGTATGTATAAGACAAAAGTATATTTAGAGACAGTCAAACATGATTCAACACATGTATTTTAGGCCTTGCGGTGGTTCAGGGCCTAGAAGTGCAGGAATAATATTTAGAGAGCCATTCAGTGCAGCTTCACTGGAAGAGGCAGCTACACACGAACAGGTGTGTGAAAAGACACTAAGACCACATACTCTGATATACTATAGTAGACTATATATGCTGCAGTATACTTTGGTATACTTTAGCATGCTAGAGTATACTATACGATGTTCTATATTATACTCAAATCAGAGTGGATTAGTGTAACCAACACAAAGCTATCCAAAATCCACTACATAACTGCGAGCAGAGTCGTTCTTCTTATTCTTCCAGGCTTCGTGCTTTTCTACTGGCTACCACGCTCCACTTGAGATGTGTGAGTGTGTGTGTAACCCGGAGTTGCATTTTTTCAACCGTCATTGTGATGAACCTCAAATTGTCGAGAGACTTTGGTCGCCTACAAGGCCCGGACGTACTCTGCGGTGAGGCCGAACTCCTCCAACATGACCTGACATCTACTTCGCATTCTGCCGGGACTCAGGCACAGGTCCGGTCCATGAACAGATGCTTGAGAGTTACGGTTACACGGTATAGCAGTATGTAGTCGCGGCCCGAATAATCATTAATCAAACTGACAAGAAGCGACGTCCTCACCCCAAATTTAAAACTCTGGCCCAGAGCGGTATATCACTTGACGTCCTACAACCTAGAACCCTACGCTGAACCGACGCCACCCGGACCCAACACCACCGAACCCTACAAACCCTGAAGCCCCAAACTCAGAATCTAAACATCCCAGCAGCTGTCCAAAGCCGAGTCTAAAGTCGGAAGCAGCCCAAACCCCTAAGTGACCCCTCCATTGAGCCCTTTATGGTACGTCGTATGCCCTAAACCCCTTACAGACCAAGAGACTCCAAAGGGCAGCGAAACGGAGCCTCGACCAGAGGCCGCCCCCGCCAGCGCATCTTCACGTTGACGGTTCTGCGCGCGAGCAAGTGCCGCGCTTTAGGGTTAAAGGTTCTTGGGCTTAGGATTTGATACGGGGCCATCATTTAGATGCGCTCCTACATGGATTCTAGAGGTTTTAAGGGTTGGGGCTTTAGGGTTTGAGGGCTTCAGGGGTTGGAAGGTTCAGTGTCGTATGGTTCAGGGTTGAGAAAGAACCGGCTTCCTTCCAGTAATGTAGGAGCCTTTGTGGTTAGAAGAGGTTTTTAGGGCATATTGTACTATACAATATGGAACCCCCCAAAATAGTATAGGCAAGTATTAAAGCCCCTATATTGACAGTTTGCTGAACCGAGGCTGCAGCTTTGTGGTTTCGTACTCCGCTAGCCTGCAGCGCCCATCTTGGACCTCCCAATGGGAAAGCTTGGTTTTATAGTTTGGGCGGTTGGGTTTTTTTGTTCAGCACCTTTTTCCGCCTGCCCATACTATCCGAACTGACAGAAGGCCAGATTTCGGGGTTTAGGGCTTGGGGTTCGGATGTTTCGGGTTTCAACGTTTCTAAGAGATTCGTCGGCTTCGAGGTTGATATCGACCCCTTAAACCACGATCGTAACCTTATGTAGTACCCCGCTCAGTAACTTTATGCAACCCTTATAATAACCCGTACCCTTGTAGTTGCCCTCGATAGCAACCCTTGTCGTACACTTCAAGGCGTTGAGTAACTGGCTGGACTGCATGACCCCTGCACTTTCGGGTGCGGCGGAGTACAGGAATAGGCTTTAGGGCTGACCTTTTGTAAGGTTGAGGGTTGAGGACTCAAAAGTTTAGGCATTTGGCTAGGGGATATGAACCACCTCTAATTTCAGAGGCTTCGACTCAGGGGTCAGAAGGCAAAGATCTAAGTCTCCGAAAAACCTCTAGTACTTGCTCAAATCACAGCATCATGATTCTTCAAACAGTTGCACGCGAATTTGGACCGCCCGTACCAAGCAAGAACAACGGCCAACGACAGCACGTAAGCAAACAGTTTGATCATGGAGATCACATACGAATGCCCTTAACATGAAGCCGTACAAGGGTGGACATCCCTGTAGAGTGCCTTTGCTGGTCTCATCTTATATCCGCCTGTCAACAACAAGAGCTTGCGCACCTGAAAGCCGGCAGGAAAGGCCACAAAGACTGGACCGGCATCCCCCATCTGACATCGAGGGGGCCTTTTTCTGAGCCAAGGAGCTCCAGGAAAGTCTCTCACGAGCCCGATGGTCTGCGTTGATTAAAATGATGATAATGATACCCTTTCTGTACTAAAACAGTAATAGTCACAACTCTACCGGTAACTATGCTCATATTGTGTGACTGTCGAACAGTTCCACGACGTGCAAGAACTAGCGAAATTGAAATCTGAGTTTGATCTGCTGCATGTGCGATGGCTCTACAATCGGCTCTACACTACATCTGAGAAGGCCTGTTTTCCACAAAAGTCGCAAATTATAGCTTCGGCTATGAATGCAGTTCATGATCACGTGACCTGTGTGAGGCACACGGCAACACACCGTTGAGCCCAGGTGGCGGCTGCAGCAAAGGCACCAGGGTATGAGCCACACAGCATGGCATGTAGTGCTGCCACTAAGTTAGGTACCTTTCGGCCATCCATGAATCCACAAGATCCAGTCACTCCAGTGAACTCTGCAGATCGAAGGTCGTTGACTAACGCCCGTGGAGCTCCGAGACATTGCCACCCGCATTTGTTTGGCCATGATCCTCTGCCCGGGAGATCCCTGCAGGAATTTCTCGGAAAATTGGAGTTTCAGGACAATGACTCCAGTAACTGCCAAGAGAAGGTTCCTTCGCAGATAGACTTATCTTTGCTTTTAGCAGCATTTTGGCCGCTGTAGCTGCCCGCAAACGCGGCGCCCATTGAGCCTTCGAGATTCTGCAGACCAAGCTACGCTAGGTCCGCTGGGTAAAACCGCGCTGGCCTACAGTATGCAAGATTTCGTGTTTCCTTCGTAGTATTCGTGCAAAATACAACCAAAACCCTCCTCTAAGAGGTCGAAAAAGGCTCTTGGCCCAAGCCAGCTTTCCACATCGGATCAGTCGGCGAAGACCATGTCCAGAAGCTCCTTCATGGGTTTTTTTTTCTCTCTCTCTCTCTCTCTCTCTCTTTCTCTCTGTCTCTCTCCCTCTCCCTCCCCTCCCTCGCACCGTCTCTCTCTCTCTCTCTCTCTCTCTCTCTCTCTCTCTCTCTCTCTCTCTCACTCACTCACTCACTCACTCACTCACTCACTCTCTCTCTCTCTCTGTGTATTTTCGTGTATGTAATATCATAGAACATACAGTGCAAGATACAAGTATAGTGCATTGAACTTCAAATACAGAATGTTCCGTACTTAACATTAAAGAGTAAGAAATATATAAGTATAAGTATTGAATGTAGTAAATACTGTATGTTACATATATATATATATGTATATATGTATATATGTTTGTTTGTATGTAAAAGTTGATATTGTATGCTTCTGTCTCAGAAAAGGAGTTTAGTTGGGCCTAGCCCTTACGGATTTAGATCTGCAGCACTCTGTTGGACTGAGAACGATGGCAATGTCTTCGGTGACCCTTGGGTCAGCCCTTCTCCAACTCTGACGACCCGTCCTCTGGAGTGCGATTCGTGAAGTAGTCG